AAAATAATAGTTTTAAAAAGCGTATTAAACCGCTATTATTAATAATAATATAAATAAAAAATCTTTTTTTTAATAGCGTTAAAAATATAACGGCTTTTAATAATAAAGTTAATAAAATATATAAAAGCGTTATTATTATTATTATCTTATTAAAAAGAACTATTTATAATAATAAACTTAGCTTCTTTTTTAATTTTTTTAAAAATAAAAAAAAAATTTAAAACCCTCGACTTTATAAATAGCGGCGTAAATATAATTAAAAATTTAATATTATTATTTAAAAGTTTATAAAATAAATTTTTAAAGACTTATATAGGAATTAATAAAAGGGTTATTAATTAAAAAATTTATTAAACGAACCGTAAACGGGCGGATATTAAATTAAATAATTAAATAAATACGACCGGTTTAAAAATATTTAATATATTTATTTTTAATATAAGAGGCCTTTTTTATAATAATAAAACGTATATAATACGCTCCGGTACCTTTATTAAATTTTATTAAAGTAAAATAAAAAATATAAAAAATAGGATTTAAAATATTAAACTCTTTTTTTTATACTCTTTTTTATTATAATAATTTTATTTTTAATTTTTATTTTGAATATAATTATAAATAAGGCCGTATTAATTTTAAATTTAATTAAAAATTTAATTATTTTAATAAAAATAATATAAATACTAATACTTTTTTTTTAAAAAAAAACTATTTAAATATATTAAAAATAACGTTTTAAAAAGTTTAAAAAAAGAAAATTTATAAGTTTTAATAACGGCCTTTTTAAAAACGTTATTAAAAACGGCCTTACGGCTCGCTTTTTTAGCTTATTATTTAAGTTTTAAATATAAAAACTCTTCTTTTTTAAAATTAATAATATCGGGGTTTTTAAAATCTTACGACTTTTTATTTTTTATTACCTTTTCTTTAAGATCCTTAGGGCTTTTATTAATAAGCTTATTAACTTTTTTTTTAATAACTTTTTTAATAACGGCGTTAACGGCTTTTTTAATAACGACGGTATTAATAATATATTTAATAATAGCGGCGGTATAAATAACGGCCTTCCCGGCCTTAACGGCGTAGGCTTTTTTGGTAATAGCCTGTTTAATAAAAGTAATGCCGGCTATTATATATATATATATATATAAATATAACGTATATACATAGCGAGTCGCTTATTATAACGAGTCGTTTACTTTCCTTTCTTTTTATACTTTTTATTTTAATAACTATTTTTTTTTATATATAATTATAGATTTTTTTTTAAATAAAAGTCGTATTATTTTTATATTTTAAACTATTAAAAAAGACTTAAATTTATCTATACGAAAAATAGTTTTTATTTATAATATTTTAAAAATAATATTTTACAATCGATACGCTAGCTTATTATTTCAATATAAAACTTATATAAATTTAAAAAAAAATAACTTTTTTAAAAAAAATTATAACTTTTAAACGAGTTATTAATTTAATTAATTAAGGATTTTTATTACGATTTAATAATATATAAAATATAACCGATTATTTTTTTTATTAAACATAACGTAATATATATTAAATTATGATAAATAAAAAACTTTATACGACGTTAATTATAATTAAAGACGCGTTTTTAATATAAAATCGATTATTAAAAAGTATTAATTAAAAATCTTATAATTATTTAAACTTAATTTATTTTTATACAAAATACGATTATAAAATATAAAATATATGATTATAATATTTATAATTTTAATAAAATAGGCTTTTTAATAAAAATATTTTTATATATAAAAGTTATTATAACTTTTAATCGTTATAAAAAGCCTCGTACAAAATAATTTAATAATTAAAAATAGGTTTTTATTATTTAAAATATATATACGAATAGCTAGGTATTACTTTTATATATTATTATAAAAAGTAAATATTACCTTTTTTTATAATATATTAATAGTTAATTCTTTTTTAAATAATATATTTATTTTAACGAAAATAGATAGATTATAAATAAGATCGGTTTAAATTAATTAAAATATTTTAAAAAATATATAAAGTTTTATATAAAAGGTATTAAACGGCTTTTAATCCTTGATAATTATAATAGTTATAAATCGATTAAATTCGATAATTATTATAAAAAATATAGTATTATCGCTTTTTATATACCTTTTCATTTATTATATAAACTTTAACTTTTTAATATTAATTATTTTAGTTTATTAAAAGCTTTATATAATAAAAAATTAAGAAAATAATACGGATATAAATTATATATATTATTAAAAACGATTTTTTTTTTACTTTTAAAATAGCCTTTTTTATTTTAATAAGTAAAAAAAACATATAAATTAGTTTTAAATAGGCTAAAATTATACTTTTTAATCTAGAAATAGTTATTTCTTATTTAGATTTTAAATTAAAAACGCTAATACTATATAACTTATATTTAAATAGCTAGGGCTTTTAAGACTTAAAAATACTAATTATAATATATAATATCGTATAAAGCTTTATTTTATTTAAAAAACGGATTTATAATTATTAATATAATTTATTAATATATTTATACGAAGTTATTAATTTATAAATTAAAAGTATTGATAAGTTAGTATATAAATTAACTTTTATTAAAACTAAATACTATAAGTTTTATATAATAAATAAAATATTAAATAAACGCCGGAGGGTTAAAAAAATATAACTATGTTTTAGAAGTTTATTTAATATTGCTAAGGCCGAGGTAATCCGAATAAAAAAAGGGGTTATTAATATTAAAAGCGAAAATATATATTAAAAGGATATTTATATAAAAGGGGTTAAATTACGCAGGTGGTAATATAATAACTATAAAAAAATTAAATATAATATATAAATATATTAAGTAGTTTAAAAGACTTTTAAAAAAAAGGTTAATAAATAGTTTTAATTAATTTTATACGATATAGCTTAATTAATTTATATAAATAGTAAGAGGGTATTTAAAAATGGGCGACTCGCTATAATAAGCGACTCGTTATATATATACGTTATATATATTTATATATATATTTATATATATACTTATATATATATATTTATATTTAATTATTATATTATAATTTATGAATATTAAAAAAGGGTTATATAAAACTAAAAACTAATTTAGAAAACTTATAAAAACGATTTATAAAAAAGTTAAAAAAAAAATTTTAATAAAAGGGCGGGTAATAAAAGAAGGGTATTTTTATTATTTATTAATTTATTTAAATAATAGCTTAATAACCGACCTTATAATAATTTATTTATTAATAAATATATATAATAATAATAATAACGTATTTATATAAATATACTATAATATTATTATTTATAAAATAGCATAAAATTATTATTCTTAATAAGTTTTTTTTATTAAACTTATTTTTTTTATTAATTATTTTTATATTTATTTAAAAAGGATATAAAAAAGATTTATATATATAATTTAATTATAAATAGCTTTATAATTAAAGGGATATATTATAAGAAATCTAGTATATAGCTATATATAGCTAAAGTAATACTTATTTAAATACGCTTATTAATTTATTTCTTAAGCGCTTTTAGACGGTATATTTATTTAATTAATTAATAGAAGATCTTTTTATAAGGATAAGTATTTTAGATTATAAGAACTATGTTTTTACGCTCCTGGCTTATAATAGCTTTTTAATAATTATATATAAATAATTAAATTTAATTTTTAAAGTCGGTTATAAGTTAATAAACCTCTTAGCTTAATATTTCTTAACGGGCGTTTTATTTCGCGTCTAAAGTAAAAGATTAGTTATATCTTTTATATTAATAAATTATAAAAAAAATCCTTTAGAATCTTATTTAATAACGTATTAAAAAGGTTTTTTTTTAATTAAATTAAGTTTATATTATTAAAACTAGATTTAATCGCGGCGTAATTAATTATTTATTTTATTATATAAAATACTTTTAAAAATATTATATATTTTTATAATACGTTATATATTAAATTTTTAATTTATAACGCGTATAGTTCGGATCGCTTTAATAATAAAAATAATTTTATTTTCTTAAATATAAATTAATATTATAATTATTAAGTTATTATATATTAAAAGTTTAAATAATTAGAAATAGAGCGTATTATAAAAAAAGTACGCGGCTAATTAATATACGCGGCTAATTAATAAAGTATGTTAGTATATAATTAAAAATAATATTATTATAATTATTATAAATTAATAATATAAAAAAAACTATTATATTTATAATAAATAAATTTAATTATTATTATAATTTAATATCAATAAATTATTAAATTTTATAATATTATAAAACTTTTAATAAAAATCAATTAATTATTTTAAAAAAATATATATTAAAAATATTTTATTTTAAAACTTAAAATTTTTAAAAAATTAAAAATTTTAATTTTTTTTATATTATATATTATATTTATTTAATTATTTTTTATTTAATTAACAATAGTTTAATAAATCTTTAATTCTATTAAATTAAATTAAATTTTTAAAAAACTAACAATAATTTTATATATTTTTAAATTTTAATTTTAAAATTATAATATTTTTTTTTAATTTCAGTATTTAATTATATTATTATAAAAAAAATAAAATATTAAATATTGATTAATTATTTAAAGCTATTAATATTATTAATATATTATTATAAAAGGTTTATATTTTAACTTATTTTTTTTTAAATAAGTAGTTAAAAAGCTTTTAACTAGCCTATTTAAATATATAAGTAAATATTAATATTATTAAAAAATATGTTTTGTTTATATAATACTTTCTTTACTTTACGTGGCGAATTAGAGTCTTTAACGTCTGCGAGAAACTAGAAGCGACCTTAGAACAGGACAATGAGTCTGAAGTTAAAATAAACAGAAGATGTTAATGTAATATAAACCAGAAAGTGTCCTAAAACTTTACATACTCGGCTCGCACTGTATACGCTCTATTCTATGTAACCTGCATTCCACGATTCTGAACAATTCACGACAACGGAGGCGCATCGGGATCCTCCATACACTGATCAACACGCATGAGCTGCTTTCCCGTGGCTTTGGCCATCTTGATAAAGTCCCTCAAGTAGCTCACAGTACTGGGATACAAGTAGTGCATGACAACCAGACTGCCGCCCTTGTCCAGGTCGCGCTTGAAAGACACCTTCTGCTGCTCGGGGGTGTCGGACAGGGCGTAGAGCCAGTCCTCGACGTCAATGTTCCAATTGACAATGTAGGGGCTGTTGGTCTGTGTCGCCGCAACCAGTTGCTGCCGCATACGGGCACCCTCGTTTCCAAAAGGTGGCCTAAAGTATTTAGTTGTGATGCCGAACTGCTCCTTCACGGCAGCGATGTCTTGGCTATACTCCCACTTGATAGCATCGTTGTTGGGGAGCCCCTCCATTCTAGGGTGGGTATAGCTATGGAGGGCCATTTGGTGGCCTTCCTTCATCATCTCCTGGTAGATGGTACTCAGATTCGTAGAGGGGTCCCTCAACGGAGCGCCGACAGTAAAGAAGGTGACCTTGATGTTTTCCGATCTGATCACCTCCATGACCTCCTGGGCGTACTTTGGATCTCCGTCATCGATGGCAAAGGCAATCGAGTTGGGACGCTTGCAAGCAAAAACCAGGTTACCGGACGGCAATTTGTTTGGAATGAGGATATTGGCTGGAACGGATGAGACGATTTCGACTTTGGTCAATGTCACTGCCTCGTTGGTGTAGAAGCCTTTGAAGGCTAGGCCGACAGCACGCTTGCGCACAATGTTGAAGTGAGAGACAGGAATGTAAATATCGTTTCCAGTGGCATAACGAGCCGCCTCTAATGAATCCCAGGTCTCGGGGAAAGGTGCTACGGTGTCGCTACATTGCGTGTTGTGCTGTTGCATGGCGATGGTGAACTTGTTGCTTCCTGAGTAGGCAACATGCAAGTACGAGCCATCATACATGGTCATGTCCGTGCAACCGTCTCCAAACTGCGTGTAGTAGGCGTAGTCGGCATCGGGTGCCTTGATGGTAATCTTCCCCTTGGACCACTTAGCTGCAGTGTCGACGTCGCCCCCATGCCAAAACCCGAGGGTGTTTTGGTTCTGGTTTGCAAAGTTGTCAATGACCTTGGCCGGGACTGTGCCGCTGGGCGCGGGTACAGTCGATACTGTGGCAGTACCCGACGGCTGTATTTTGACGACATACTCAGATGGTGTGCTGCCGCAATAGAAAGTCATGGGTCCAAAAGTTACACTACTAGAGAGTCCACTGAACAAGATGGAAGATATTCTGGACTGGTCGATGAAAGCGAACTTGGAAAAGGGGAAACTGTACAGCTTTTCGGTGCCGTCGAATGTCCATCCGAGCTCGCTCGTAGATTGAAAGCCAAAGATTGCGTCGTCACCGCCACATGTTGCCGGCGATGCCATCTGTACTTGGAAAGTTGCTCCTTTGTTGGCCTTGATGCGCAGAGATATACCGCCATATATCTGAGCCTTGGCATTTGTGCATGCAGTCTTGCTATAGAAATAGGAATCCTTGTTGTTTGGTGTCAGGGTGACTCTGTTGCCGCTAACAGAGATGCTCTTCATGGTACTATCATCACTGCTTGGCTGAAGCATGGCGTTGTAGTAGAGGAAGGTTAACCTTGACTGGGACTCCCAGTCATCGATCAAAAGATTGCTGCAGCTCGACGAAGCAGGTGATAATTGAGAAGTGGCGGAGCCTGTTACGGTTGACGTTCCGAGCGAAGAGATGGATGAAGATGATGAGCGGACACTTGACACCATCAAAGATGTATTGCTGGCGAGGGAGGTTGCCACGGACGAGCTAGTGGAGCCGACAAGAGTACTCTGAGAGGTACCTGATGACTTGGCCGACGTCGAGAAGGAGGAGAGGCCGGTGCTCAACTTCATGCTCGTAGCTCGTACAGTTGCGGATGTGGACGATGCCGGTACGGTAGTAAGAGTGCTTGAAATGGTTGGGCTAGGCTGAGAGACCGACAGAGGGTTGCTCGGAACCGGTGTCGCTTGGGCAGACGGGTTTGTGACATCGTTGCAGACAAACTGTAAGTTGTCGAATTGATATGAGGAGAACTGAGAGTACGTTGACCAGACGAATCCGGTAATGGCGTCCAAGTTTGCTTCCGTGAACGAAGACAGAGGGATGGTGACAGTCTGCGCTGAACCAGTGAGGCCAGAGATGGTAACCCATTGGCTCTTGTATGTGTCGTCGCTACATGTTGCCCTCGACTGGATCTCCAGAAGCATAGAGGCATCTTTGGGCCCATTGATCGTCAGTGACAAGGCTTTGTAGCCATTGGTGGCTGCCTTGACACACCCAAGGGTCTCATAAAAATACGAGGTGGTGTCGGCTTTGGGGGTGAAGGTGAGTGCTCCGCTGCTGATGGCGATCTTCGCCATGGAACCGTCGTCGCTAGTCCAAGAGTCCAGCTTGTTGATTCCGGAAGCAGATGATCTCGAAAAGTCATCAATCAAAAAGTTAGAACACGCTGCCTGAGCAGTTGCTGCGAGGCTGAAGAGCCCGAGCAATTTGCTGTTAGGGGACATGGTGGCGATATTCGGCCCGTCCGCTATATTTGCAAGAGAATGCTTTTCGAGCGCGAAAGAGTGTAAAATCTTGGATCTAAGTGAAGGTGATAAAGATAGGGACAAGGGGTGATTTGATCGAAGAAGGAGACATCTGAGAGACATATATACATACCTCTTAACGCCATCATATCAACTCTCTCAAAATCTAGCTAAACGGTGGCGCCGAGGAGGCTTGTTCAACCACACGATTATGGATTTCAAGAACATAGCCCAGAGTGTAGACAGACCTGCGGAGCTTCTTCATCGCTCAACGGCATGCCCTGGGTTCACAGAGCAAGCGGCTGGTTGATGGCTCAGACGCTGGTCCATCCAATGTGGAGCTGTACTGGAAGGGCAACCCAGGGGCCTTTTGCGTTGGACAAAGCATGGAAGCTCAACCTGCCACTTGCAGGGCCAAGAACACACTAGGGACAGCCTCGTGGGCGAAAACATGGTAGGGCCTTCGGTCCTTCAGGTGAACTATATTTGTGGAGATGACCCGAGGCCAAGGGAAGACAAGTTCCGACGAGGATCGTCGGAGCGAGGCGTTGTGCCTGCCAGAGCCCAAATGCTTGGGAGTGGCGTTCATAGTCAAAAGAAAGTTTAAAAACTGCCCGGTATTGAATGACAGACGTGGAGGGAAACACTGCGGTTGAAAAATAAAGTCGATTCTTTGTTTTTTGTTTCGTCACCGGCTGGACACTGGTGGACTGGTCAGCTATTGACGTTCATGTGAGATGAAAGAAACGCCGGGCCACGCCGGGCCGGGTATAGTTCGTAGAGGTATGAATAAGGGTGAAAGGAACCGCTAAATCGGTAGACGGTGGGCCAAGAAGACTCGAAACAAGACAACTCGAAACACAGCAAGAAAGAATGGGGCTCGGTTTGCCACCTAAGTAGCTTCCTTCTAACCACAACCGTCGTCTCAGTGGCATTGGCATGGAGTATGGGGTTGAGGCGCTCCTTGAGTGCTTCGGCGGATGAACCCATCGAAGCGTTGGTGGGTTGAGCGGATGGGCGAGTGACTCTTAAACCGGTTAGCAATGCAACGAATACGTGGACACGTGCAAAGCTACCGTTGGAGCCTTCTACTATGCTCTTCTTTGTCCTCGTATCAGCAAGAACGAAGATCCCCAGCATAAAAGATCTGACGGCTCTCACACTCCCAGTGATTCCTTCATTTGCCATGCAAAGTGTGGTTAGCATGGATCTATGCCGCACTAGGTCAAGATTTGCCTCGGGACGACGACAAAAAATAGATCGGAAGTGGACATGACAAAGCACTGGTTTGAAGGCTTAATTACTTGGCAGTACCTCGAGTAATCTGGGAGCCATATGCCTACTCTGAGGTATCAATTCGCTGAGGGAGCAAACGCGTCGCAAGATTGAAAGCAGGGCTCATTTCATACCAGTTCGAGTTCACTGAATTGGGATGTCAGAGTCTCAGCCAAGGCACACACTGAGGCCTGAAGGGTCGCAACAGATGGTCACCCGGGCACCGCCGTAACACAACCTACCATCGACGTTGGCCTCAAGCCAGATAGATCGTACTGGACTGACTGCTTGGACGCCCAACATCTTCATGGCCCTCTCGTGCGGTTCTGTTCTGGGCTCGGTACGGATATGCTGAAGTCAGGTACGGCCAAGAATAAGGTTATGTCAAGCCATCCCGACCTGAATCATGCAGCCAGAACCGGTCATGCTCAGCCATGGCCCGTCGGCGACGGGAGGCTACCTACCGGACCATGGGAGAAAGTTCAAGCAGTTGTTGAATATAGCGAGTGATGCCGCTGACCACGAGGCTCGTCATCAACCGCGTACCTCGAGGTCGCACGTCTTGGCAACACGGTCTGGTTTCTTCCAATTTCTTCTTCTTCTTTTGGTTTTCAGTGTCCAGACGCCACCTTGACGACCTTCAATGGTGGTTGCCAAGCCAAAGGACGACCAGTGCGAAAGACCTTGCAAATGTTGATGTTTCAAGGAACGGGCCCATGAGTAGCTGGCAGCAGTGGAGCGCAGTCTGCAAGGTTGGGCCCATCCCGGGCATTGCGGTGAAATCTCGATTGGCCCGTGCACTGAGACCATTCCAAGTCTTCTGACTAATTAGCCCGAGCACGAGCACGAGCACGAGCGTGAGCTGAGCGGATAAGCAAGTGCCGCGACGCCCGAGACGTGTTTCCCAAAACAAACGGATGGACTCGGGATGCTATGAGTGAGCTCAAAATAACGTGAAGTTGAAAGAGTGAGGGAATCGCCTATCATTCATGTCCTGTTTCGAGGTGCGGCAATGTTACGAAAGCGACTCCATGGTATCTTGCTCTATAAGTCTCTCATCTGCTCGTTATGGGTATAAGCAGGACGGCAAAACGCTGTATCACGTCGATCATTTAGTATGTTCCGGATCTGCTCTGGACTTCAGGCGGTGGCCGTTTATCAACTACAGCAGGCTAAGTGTAATTCGAACCCGCATCATATCGTCCACATCCTCGTCGTGACCGGTTATATCATTCTCGGTACCCGAAGGCAATGGTCACGCCTGAGGGCCATGAAGCAGGAGACGGTTGTAAGGTAAGCGTCGACCTTCGGAAACAAGGAGGATCTACCTATGGACCTAACATCGCCGAGAAGGATTGCTGTCGTAATGAGTAGCTACTACGTACTTAGTCAATAGAGCAGGGGTGCGGGTGAGGCCATATGACCTGAGCAACCACAACCTAGCTGAGTTGGCATCCCGCCAGCGGCAAGGTGGCCTACCAAATAGTAAATCACCAAGCCCAAGTGCATAAGGTAACAGTTGACGAAGCCAACTACTTAGCCGGCAAGGGCACAATGGGTGATTCGTACGTACCTTAGTAAAGGATCAGTACCTTATCTTAGGTGCTATAGTGTGCATGCAGCAAGTTATTACGGCATTTGTCGTCATTGGCGAGCACGCCGCATGCATTGAATGACACTAAACGGTAAAGGTTTAAGTACCTGTAAGGTAGGTAGGTACGGAGTGACGCCTTCCCACCTAAGGTACCTACTGTAGGTGCCTTGGGGTAGAGACCCTCAAAGCAGCTGGCACTCCTGGCAGCCGCCGGCACTGGGGATGGCGGTACCGGGTGACTCTTTCCTGTCCACCACCTCAGTCTGCAACGCCGGGTGACTGTACTCCCCACGCCACGCCACTTCCGGAGTCTCTCTGATTGGAAGGAGTCTCGATTTTTGGCCCAAAGCAGGAGAAAGTGCATCATGACGGGGGAACATCTGCATTCTGCAGCACCCGCAGCACCCGCAGCCCCCGCAGCCCCAGCAATTCGTCATACCTTAAGGCACTTTGGCATTGATTGTGAGCATTCATCAACTTGCCGCACACCCCCTATACATTGATTACACCCACACGCCCCAAGCTTTATCATGGTGCATATCGACGTATCAGCTGTACTCTCTGCCAGCTTATCGCCCGTCTGTCCGCTATGCCGAGACGATGAGCCCCCTTACCCGTCAAGAGGCAACCACCAGCCCACCTAACTCCATCTCGCATCCCGTACATGTTCTCACTCGCGCCTGGTCCTTGACAGGCCCAGGTCTGCCTGTGTGCCCGTGTGGCGGCCAGCCCACTCCGTCACGCCCTTTCCGTCTCATCTGAAGTTGGAGCTCAGCCTGCCTCCAGATCTCAAAGTTGGGACACGCGCGCCTTCCCGGTCCCCTCTGCGCCCACAGCGGTTCGCCCTACTTCGCCTTATCTCCTTGATGTTGCCGACTATATCACGTCCGCCATCCCGCTACCTTTGTCCATGTACACTCCGTATCTCCCTCTACCTCATTATTTGCTTCCTGACAACTGCACCACCACCTGCTTTTCCCACTTACATCATCTGTACACTCACCCCGCCCCGTATTCAACAACACCTGCGTCCCATCTTGATTTTCACTTTGCATTCCCTCTCGGACCATACAGATCGCCACGGCCCTCTACGCCTCGATTCCTGGTTGCCATCCTCGGTAACTTAGCCCTTCAGCTTTGTTCGGCGACTCACCCGGCCCCTTCCGTCCATCCGCCTTAGAGTGATTACCTCACCCAACCTACCTCAAATTGCCCGGACCTTCCTTGTCTTTTGGCCTACGTCTAGCCTCAGCCCTCCAACCCGAGGACCGAAACGCGCATAACTCTTCCGCTTTGCCTTGCGTCAACTATATCTACTAGTCCACCAACCCCTTTCTTAAGACTTTTTTGACTTGACTTTTTGTCCGTACTCGAGGCTCTATTCGGCCAGGCATACATTACCCTTAGACGAAGCGCAAGGCGGCTTCGTAGCTGTTGACCTCGAACATCGACGCTCACCATAACCACCTCTCCAGCGTAACGTGCTTCACTCATCCAGATACAATGGCCGCCTCGATTGAGTCACCAACCCAGTTCGAGCGCGATCTTCGAAGCGCCAACCAAGAATTCAAAAGATCAAAGGATTCACGGTCCAAGTGGTCAAACGGAGCCCGCCCTCTAGCTGGTTGTCATCTTGACTGGAACACTATGGAGGCTGTTGGTGGAAGCGAGCACCAGCGAGGCATGGCCCGCCCTCGGGTCAAGAACAGTGAGACGTATGTTTCTTGAATACTTCTCATTATACCTACCTAGGAGCACCTCTAACACTCGTGATAGCTCCCACTACAAGAAGACGTTGCACAACATAAGCAAATTCCGGTCACACTGGGAGTTTCCCCAGGGACGGCTGCACTCGACGGCTCGTGCCAAGGAACATATTAAGGATCCTCTCAGTCGGTCGGTCATGAACATGGCGCCATCGCCAGACGTTTTGGGCGGTCTCTCTGCCTCGGAGGACTGGAAGTACAGCTTTGATCAGGTCGAAAGCCCCGGTCGACCAATGACTCTCGATGTCTTCGTCAAGACTACGACGGGTCGCGAGACGGAGCGTATGGTGGAGAAAGAGTACGAAATTCTTAACGAGAATGGCCAGGTTCTCAAGGGCCGCAAGGCCCGGCAGAACCTGCGCCAGGAAGGCGGTCGCGTCTCGGAGGAAGATGGTTTCCAGCTGGTCTGAAGCCGGCAGATGGATGCACGTCCCCATGAATGACTGCACGAGACAAGTACTGACTAGTACATATTTTGAGGATCTGGTTCCTGGGCGTTGGTGAAGTGAGCATGGCGCGCATACTGATCATCGGATGGATTAGGGTGTGCTTGAAGACAAGTTAGGGATTTGTGGCGGCGTTTCTGTTCGGGGGTGGCTTGGAAGGAAAGCGGCACTTGCATCGTCTGGGTCACAAAGCATATGCATCGCCATGATGACGAATACTAGCGCTGCAAATTGAACACTCGGTACACAGTTGCCGCGATGTTGTCATTGAGGCATACCTCTACTTTGTGAAGTCTGCGAAGCAAACGGCGGAGGATGCGATTCGCTGGCTCGGAGCCTTGACTTGCTTATCCTCCAAGGCCCATTGGAGCAAGAGCGGCATGGTGCTTATGACGTTCCAAGTGGGTATGCATCCATTGCATCCCGAGGTCCAGAGTGGTCACCAAAACGGGCACATAGGCGGCCGCAGGCAAGCCAGAGCCGGCCGTGGGCCGTGACACTCCGCTGCGGCCTGGGGGCTGTGGCTGGAAAAGAATGGTGGTGCCTAAATCAAACCCCAGTGTGAGTGGAGGTGATTTCTTTTTTGGTTTTCATGTCCTCAGTGAGGACGAGTGCGCTGCTACCCAGAGGCGACGGATGACCATGCTGGTCTCTGGTCTCGGTCCCCCCTCTCTCTTTCTTTACTATCTCATTTTACACTCTCCGTTCTTCTTTTCCCGTGATCAACCGCTTACGCACAAGCGACACCTTGGACTGTTCATCTGATTTAGTTGAGCGACCAGGTTACGCCTTGCACTGAACCATGCCCACGAGTTATATCAACACCTCGCGATATTTGAGAATGGCTGCGACGCAGAGTGACGGGCATTCTGTGGTGTTGCAGTCTCCGTCACTTCCAGAGCTCTCGGCAAATCTCCCAAGCCCCTCGGAGCTGCCGGCGGAGCCCCCATTGACAACAAGAACGTCGCCGCCGCCCCCGGCATCAGTGCCGACATCCATCACAAGCGGACCATCGTCATCTTTGGTAACAGAAAAGGCATTGTTGGCGGGTCACTCTGTTGATGAGGATCTAAAGGCCGACAGCGCCAGTACATCGGAACCCCCGCCATATTCAAGCCCTTCCAACAGCTTGGAGACGTCCATCTCACACGACCCACGCGGCATACACGGGACCCCCTACTATACTGGTCTACCTAGGCTGGATTATAGGCTTTACTCGCCACCCAACTTTACCCTATCTTCCGACTGCACCACCATATCCTCCAAGGCAGACTATCTAACAGCGAGCGCCAGCGCCCTGATTGGGCTCATCAGGTCCCAGGCATGCACTCCACCCAAGCCATTGATTCATGTCAAAGGAAACCGCGGTCGAACCATTGACTTTGATTTCAAAATGAATCTCATGGGCTTGCTGGTGGCAGACGATGTAAGCAAGCGCTTGGACTACATTCGTTGCGTTGCGCCGGGCGAGCTGGCGTTCCGTGGTGGCGCGAAGCCTGATATCCTCCCCGAGGTGGGAGACAGAGAGCTGGATGAATGGTGTCGCCGGTTCATCGAGGATCCGGCCCCGATTAAAAGTTTTGGTGAGTTCTTATTGCGTTACGCGAGATGCTCTTGGTATGACGACGGCTAATGCCAAGCGTCCCCCTTGCAGCCCTCGAGCGAGTTGTCGCCAATCTGGACACGCTTTATATCGAGGGCCAGATTCGGAGCTTGATTGCTTCAACGCAATACAAAGGGCATATCAACATCTCGTTCCCCGTGACGCATGCCAAGGTCAAGGTCAATAGCATCGAGAAGCCGAGCAAGATTTACATGGGCATGAAGAACCTCTTCACAAGCAGGCACAAATACAAAGTGGTGCAGTCGATATGGCCCTTTGCGACGGCCAAAAACGGCGAGGAGGGCCGGAAGTGTGTGGTGCAGAGTGAGGAAGTGTGGTGGCGGGTGAGTTCAGCCTTTCGAATATCGCTGCAGTGCTTTCTGGAACCTGCGGCTCCAAGGATTGACAAAGTTGCTGACGCTGTTTGCTTGTAGGAGTGGAGAGACTCAATCCAGTATGCCATTGCGCAGAAACGGGGAAATGGCGCCTATGTGACGAATGAGGACAAGCTGGAGGCAATCATGGAGGGCAAGGGCAAGGGCGTAGCGTCCATCGACTGGGGCGGGACTGGCCTCGAGCTTGAGGAACACGCCAACCGAGGCTCCGACGAGAGACGTGACGCGTGATGCCTTGCTCCTGTCCAGAGAGGAGTGCGACGTCGGTGTGATCGATGATACCCAAATAGGGCAATCAAGCCACGTGGAAATGGTGTTTTGCCTTGTCTAATTAGAAATGGCGAATTGTGACAAGTTTCCCCAAACTACCTCTGGTCTGCAGCACTCAGCCCCCTTCGAACACTGAAGTGTTCATAAGTAGCTTAAATTCAAGAATTGAACGCTGCGTTCCAAAAGCTCTTTTCGAGCACAGTGCTCAGGGATCCTTATATCTGTAGATATTTTGAGGTTGAATTATGAGATTAGTTCATCAAAGTTAAAGAGAACACTTGTAGAGCGGTCAATTTTTTGTTGCCCGGGCTCTGGTCTGCATAGTATCTGACCTGGGAACAGCATGGCAGCGGGTGTATCACTTTGCCAGTCCAAATAGGTCCAAATGTCACGGCGACAACCAAACAGATCGGTAAAGTATGTAAGGCAGTGCCATCAAAAGCATGGAATGCGAGCAATTAGCAGGGCCCCATGCAGCTTGAGGAACCTGCTTTCAGAACGACCGTCCACGGTGAGTCACCGCCCCGCATCGCCCCAGACCTCCGCTTCTTTTGAATACCTCAGGTAGTTTAAACGCTTCTGGACATGGGCAAAACAAGCGATCCCGGTCCTTCAGTCCATATCAACCTACCTCCCGTGTTCCCCTGGCCGGAGATCAATTTCATAGCCCCAGGTAGGTAGGCAGTGGGCCCAGACCGATGCAGTGACACACCCGGCCAGTGACTCCCACTCCGCACGACGATCCTGGGCCCCCATTGCAGAATGAGGACAGTCCATAGTCAACGGGCGCTAAGGTGCAGTAGAGCTGCAGCCTGTAGGAGAAGCGGTCTCATTCGATTTTAAACATACCACTGGTATGCGCCAAGGACCCGTCTGGATCAACTCCCATGTTGGACTCAGCCTGCACGACTGCGGATACACACTTACACTTACACGCACCTCATCTCTGATTGAATGAGTTGAGCTTCTCACTCGGGCCGCTCAGTACAAAAGCCATCGCATTCCTCATCCTTATTTACGTGAAGGCGCTCCTCGATCGTAAAGCCCCCGTCTCGTTCCCATATAGTTCCTCTGAGACTAACACAGACGCCACGATACACACACCCCACGTCACATTATCCCCAAACCTCTTAAAACCCACAGGCATCGTAAGCCACTACTAGGACCAAGCGACCAACGCCCATGGAGTTCAACATCCCACCAACTCACGACACGGCTCTTTGCCTCATCCCGCCCAAGGATCAGTGGCTGCCAATCGACCGTTTTCGTTTCCGCAACGACAAGGCCTATGCCAAATGGCCACCTCATGTCAACCTCGTTTATCCATTCACCAGGTCTGCGGATTCAGCGACTCTCTATCAGGCCTGTGATGCCATTGTCAACTGCCTCAAAGCTCGCCAGGAGACGGCCGACCTCACAAGTCTTCCCATCCTCCTCGACTCACCAGACTTTTTCGAGAATAAGCACGGCAGCACGCTGTTTCTGTATGACAAGGATGAGGAGAGGAATCTTCGCCTTGCCTCTCTTCGCGCCATGATCCATACATCTACCGGCCAGACGCGCCCTGCACCATACCGCATGCACATGACGGTTGCCCAGTGCGAGGATACAGCAGCAGGTTCATCTAAACTTAAGTTTCTCCTCGAGAAGCTACGACGCCTGCCGCCGGTCCGTTGGGAAGCTACCCAGCTAGCCGTCCTGGTTCGCCGTGCTTCCGGCCAAATGAAGCTCTGGGCCCTCATCGACCTTGCTTCGCCTTCGCTGTGTCAAAACGAAGATTCATTTGACCTATTCCCGGGCATGGCCTCAGCCATTCTTCCACAGCGGTCATGGCGCTTCTGTAGCCGGGACTTGTGTTGGCAGCCCGTTGTCCCAGATTCAGCCTCACCTTGTCCAGAGATCAATCCGATAGAGAATCTCATTCTCGCCAGCTGGAATGTTTTGGCAGAGTTCCACTCGCCCCCGTCTCGTAGGAGATATCCAATCATCGTTGACAACCTACTCGCACGAAATGCTGTTGCAGATATCTTAGTCCTCCAGGAAGTAACAGATGACTTCTTGCCTTTCCTGCTCAAAGACAACCGGATTCGCAAACTCTACCCAAATGCCTCTCATGGGTCTCCCGACGACCTCGCTGCCGGTCCATTACCCAACCTCCTGAACCACGTGATCCTCAGCAAGTTTGCATTTTCATGGGAGTATCTTCCCTCCGTACGCCCGCACAAGGGATCATGCATACTCAGCTTTCAAAATCTGGCCTATGGCGAGGAAGAGGCAGCCGCTTCTCCTTTGGTACTGGCAACATGTCACCTAAGCCACGGTCTGACAGACGGTGCCGTGGTTGCCAAGGAAAGGTAATCTACAGACCCGCGTTGAACCTGACGTGTTTTCCGAACTAAAACTCGTCGATAGAGAACTGCAGGTGGTTCTAAGTCACCTCAGGACTAACTACGCTGCACATCAATGGATCATTGCTGGTGATTTCAACATTGTAACGTCTTCCTACACTATCGACGCCGCTGTCAAAAAGGGGGCCATCACCCTTCAGACAAAAAATGTTCTCCGAGGCATTGAAAGAACTCTGGCAAAGGCCGATCTTCTAGACGTGTGGATGGTCTCGCGCATCGAGGCCGGTGTGAGTGACAACTTCAAAGGGGATCCCAATCAAATGTTCGAGGGTGAGCAAGGAGCAACCTTTGACCCTATTGGGAACCCCAACGCTGGCAAGATGGTCGGAGCTGGCTTGAACAATCGTCCGCAACGATACGACCGTATCTTGGTTAAGGGCGCTGGCCCTTTCCAGATATCCCGCTTCAACATGTTCGGCTTCATCGCTGGCGACAGCGAGACTGGAGAAGCACCCCTGTACGCGAGCGACCACTGGGGTGTCCGATGTCTCTTGCAGCGCTCTCACGCGAAAGACGTTGCCAATGACGCACGCATTATCCCTGTCAATATCAAGAGAGCTCCTGATACTTTGTCAGATGCTACAAGATTGTGGAAGTGCCTGGAGAATCTCGAGGTCTTTCCCTCAGCGCAAGACGAGGCAGGTCGGCATGAGGTGACCCACTTACTCCGGCAAATCCTAACAGAGTCCGATCAAACATTCGTGGACAATAAACGAGGTCGTCCGGCGATTGCGCTCATCCCTGTGGGATCCTATGGTCTCGGTACCTGGTCTAGGAACTCCGATATCGACTGCCTCTGCATCGGGTCTATCAGTCCCCGCGTTTTCTTCACTCTGGCGAGAAAAAGACTGAGAAATTCAGGCAGTCCTGGTATTCGGCTTCTGAGGAAAGTCAAAGCTAAAACCGGTACGATGCTTGAGGTGGAGGTTCTCGGCGTGAGATGCGATCTCCAGTATTGCCAGGCACCCAATATTGTGGACCAGTGGCCTGACGTTCTCAAGCGCCCTGCGTCAGACCCGGTGTTCAGCTTGTCTGCCCAGACACTGCTTAAATTGAAGCCAGCAAGAGACCTATTCTATCTCCAGCGATCCATCCCGGACTTGGCCCAGTTCCGATTGAGCTACCAGGCCATCAAGACTTGGGCCAAGGCGCGCGGGATATACGCCGCCAAGTTCGGGTACCTCGGAGGCATCCATTTGACCGTTATGCTGGTCAATGTCTGCAAGGTGCTTATACACGACGGCGGCGCCATTTCTACCGCTGATATAATTACAACCTTCTTTGACCACTACGCGCGGTTCGACTGGGAAAAGGACATGGTATACGACCCCTTTTTCCATAAAAACCTCAGATACCACCGAATAGGTAGAGAGGCTCTGATTTTGCTCGGATGGCACTCGCCGACACTTAATACCGCACTCAATACCTCCGTCCCGACTGTTAAAATCATCTCGGCAGAACTCCGCCGAGCCAACAAACTGCTATCAGGCATCGGAGCAAGCTGGGAATCGTTACTACCGGTGCCGGAGTCCGGCCGAGGCAGCATCATGACACCGAGCGCCACAAACTTCCTCACGTCGTTCCGGTCATTTGTAGACTTGCGTGTACACTATTGGGGAGCGTCCCTCGAGCGTGAAAGTAGGCTCATCGGCTGGCTAGAATCCCGATGTGCCTCGCTCCTCGTTGGTAATTAGCCCCTGGACGCTGACTCTTATCCCGCATGTTTCTTTGCTGACCATGTCCAAAGACATCAACAAAAGAGTACCGCAGCTTTCGGCAAGGATTTGGCCTGCGAGATTTGTCGACGCATCTACGTGTGACCCCCAAAACGCCCAGGGCGATTATCAGGGCTCTTACCTCGTCGGGTTGGAATGGATGGAACCGGACGAGAAGCCAGTCCGGGGCGACTTGGAAGCGGCACAGAGCAACCTGAGGGCTGTTTTGCAGCAGTTTGAAAAGCTGATATTGAGTGACGAGAAGTACTTCAATCCCAACACATCATGGTTCAGCGCGAGCATTGTCAGGGCAAATGAGCTAGGAGATCTGCGGTTAGATGATCGTGAATGGGGTGTGTACGTCGAGAGCGACGAAGATGACTCGGATACAGAAGACGAAGATGATACCGAGGATGAGGACGGGGAAGAAGGACTGGCCCGGGAGAGGCTCCCCGAAAAGTCGGATAAGAGGGCCAAATCAGCAAAACAACGCTCGGGAACAACCTTTCCGAAAACCGAAGGGATGGGCAAGTTCCGCACAGCGCTCGATGTGCTTAATCGATTGCGATGGGATCCTGACATTGACGGCAACGACTTCATCATTGGATACGAGGACAGGTTCCTGGGACCACAAGAGAAAGCCCTGGCGGCCTGGAAGAGCGAGCAGACACACGAGGAGTTCATTCCTCAACATCGAATCTTGTGGTTCAAGCGCGGTAGTGACGGTATGATTGTTTGGCACCGGTCGGAGCGCATCGACTTGCTCTTCAAAAAGACTTGAGTCTTGCAGCATTTTGGCAGTTGTTAGATTTAGTCCTCGCTGGGCAACGTGACTACTTAGTGTAGCAGGCCACATCTTCAGCATAGGCAATCCTTTGACAAATGAGAATTATGACCACGTTCGTCAAGACCCCTTCTTCCCCACAAAGCTTTTTGCTTTTGACGACGACATGGCCGGAGCTCAAGTTCCCAACGTGGTTTCATCACCAGGTGCAAAGTGCCCAGTAGAATGCCATCTCATTGCGGCGCATGCATATATGTCCAGACCGGTATGTGGGTATCGCAACAGTCTGTGTAGGCTTCTAATCCATGTTCTTCATAATGCATGATGAGAGGCAGCGGAATATTTTAAAAGTACAACAATCCATGACTTGGTATTCGCCACCGAAACGCCCTGCCAAAGTTCCAGAACAATGCTAAACAAAATAGTAGCCGAGAAGAGACAAGCCAGGCACCCCACCCAGCTGGGAACAGCCAGCCGGCCGTGACCTATGCGTACATGAAGTCCTTGTCAATAGAGCGTCATGAAGACGGCGGCAATCGCAGACTTGTCGTACTTTACGTGCTTGCCCTTGCCCTTGTCAACCTCGTGGTATCGGTCCCAGAACCGGTTGTAGAGGGGTTCGAGCATCTGCTGGATATCTCTTGCAAACATCTGACGCACCTCCCTTTCCATGTTGTATGTCTTGTGCCGGCTGACCATCTCGTCAAAGGAAGCATTGAATGCCTGGAACTTGCCCTTGATGTTATCCTTGTCCCTGCTGCTTAGACCTTTGAGAATGGAGGCGGAATCAGCCTGTCCGGATTGAGGTCGTGCTTTGCTCGTGTGGATGACATCAAATAAGTGTGTCGAGACCTCTTTGCAATCCATTGTGTACATGCCTGTTGCTTTCTTGCGCCATTGGTCCAGCATGCTCATCCGGCCTTCTAGGAGTGGCGCAAGGTCCGAATCGCGGATCATTCTTTCAATGATTACAACGCTGTTGGCTAGGAAGACGCCGATAACAGCTCTACCGCCCTTGAGAACTATCTTGGCTTTTGAGTCCAGCCCCGCCATGAGCATATCGACCGTATCTGAGCAGTAGTGCGAAAAGATTTCCTTCCCGTCAGCGCCAATATCAAAGGAAGCAAGACTGGGAATTGCGTCAATTGATCGTCCATCGGCAGCGGCATTTGTTCTCCACCCCCCGTCACCAAGGGAGAACATGATACTCGAGATTGGCCTCAGGAATTCGACCATGGTCTGCAGCCGCTGCATTGTCGCTGAAACAATAGGTATTGGTGCACCGTCTTGCGGAAGTGTTTGCATGGCAGCAATCTTTCGTTTCGTCTCGTCCAACAGTTCTCCCAACGATAGTTTGGCAGTCTCCCGCACAGGCCGAAGGGCTGCAGCAAGTGAAGACTTTAGCTCGCCGGTACGCGTTTCCAAGTTACTTGAGAGGCCTGACATGATCTCTGTGATCTCGTAGGCGAGGTAGCAGTCCGTGTCCAAATGCCCCTTGATATGGTTGTTCAGCTCGCGCAGGGTGCGCGCAAGCTCGGCCATAGCACTCTGGCATGTGGCTTGGAAAAGGGGGCCCCAATCTTCGCGGGTGAAGATGCTACAGATGTTGTCGTACTCGGCCAGAAACATGCCTTCCATGGCCTGCGCGTACGTACCAATGCCATTGGTGCCCGCGCGGTAGATTGCATCGGGGTTCTTCTTCTTCGTCGTGTTAACGCTGGCAGCAGCCAAGTTGGCCAAGGTAGAGGACAGGTAGGGTCCGCGTATTTCAGCGTAGATTTTGGCAATGGCCGAGTCTTGCGGGGTAGTGGCAGCACCAGCGTTCTGACGATGATTGCTCGTAATGTAAGAGTTGACTAGGCCGAGACGCGTCACCTTGTCCTGAGATAGTACGGGGAATGGCATATCCTTGGTGATGTAATGTAGCGGTTCGATCGAACGTGGAGTTTCTCCTCGAAGCAGTCTGTCGAAATGGCCCTCAAGCTGGGAGTTGCCTGACTTGATTAAGCGGACCAGCTCGGCCATTGTCTGTTGGTTGGCCCGTAGGTTGGAAGCCTGCATGTCCACAAGGGACTTGGAAAGGCGCTTGATTGAGGCGAGGTAGTTGGAAAGGCCAGCCTTGTCTGGACCGGCGCGGATGATCTGTTCTTCGTCATTCTTACTGTCGGCGGGTTGACGTAGACGTTCAATGGCAGCGAGGACCGAATCGATGTCTGCGAACGAGGGTGTCAATGTTAGCCAGAGCTTTGTTGAGCCGGCGCAAGGGAAGACGTACTGTTGCCCAGCACCTGAAGCTTCTTCGTTTCGCCACTGAGAGGACCGGCAACTTCTCTGACACTCTTGCCGGTAGACTCCAACCTTCCCATGCATGCTTGGATCTTTTTGGTCAATTGAGTCGTCTTCTCGAGTCGCGAGTTGAGCACATCAACCTCGGCACGAGCCTCTTCGTCGGCATGGCGACTTGTCGCAGGCCCGACGGACATTGTGCGTAACCCTATCAGCTGATGCGGTTACAGCGCTTGCAAGTTGCGGCCAGGTGAATGGGTGTCAGAATTGTAGGACGAGGGGCGTGGGAGTGCAGTATCGGACCGTCATCAACCGTATGAGAATCGTGGGAAGTCGGGAGTTCGGCGAGATAAGGATTGCCGGAGGTAGCAGGTCGCGTCGCCTGTGCTCCTTCTCCGCGTAGGCCACGTCACTTGCGGAATCGTGGGTTGGCTAGCTCAGAAGTGGGTGGTGGTGAGCCTCTGAAGGTACATTGGCAGACTACCTTACTGGAGGTGCAGAATGAGAGCTAGGTAGGCATGTACGGGACGGTAAAGGCACGTAGCGTTGAACTCTTACGGGCAGGTCCTGCCGGGCATATAAGGCGCACCCAACTGTGCCCAAGCTGATCGGATGAGGTACGAGGGGTTGGTTTTAGTGTACTATTTATTATTCCCCTTGTGTTGAGAGCAAGTAAGTTCGGGAACTTGGGGTTAGATGAACAGTTGGGATGGATTATGTCATCCCGTGTTTTGTGCACCACCCTTTCATGCCTGCCAGACTTGGGATTGCATGCTTCGTTTTGTTAACAACACTACTACTATGGAGTTTACCCCCAGCGAGGAAACTTATATCTACTATGCTCGATCAAATGCTCCTCCACACATAGCTTAAATAAATTGTTAAACAGTTGAAAACTTTACAACTGATTTCAAATTCGATTTACGCATCATATCATAACAGGTAAATCAAATGGCCGGTCGGGGCTGTTCCAGTCCTGCGAAATATTCCCTTACCAGCTTCACCACCGTTTCGGCAATGAAAGTAACGTCGTCCCGTGTCACGGTATACGGCGGCGCGACAATGATATGATCACCTAGTACGCCGTCCACAGTCCCCGCTCCAGGATAAACCACGATACCGTAAGCCTCGGTGCGCCCAATATCGCTGATTTCCATTGCCACCTGTGCTTCCCTGGGCCAAGGCTCCTTGCTCAACTTGTCCCGCACAAACTCAATGCCCCAAAAGAGTCCCTTGCCACGGATATCTCCCACGTAAGGTTCGTCCCTGAGGCCATCCCTCAAGAGTTCCGACAGCACTTGGCCCATGGCTCGTACGTTGGCGAGAAGACCACCCGACTCAATGATTTGCTGTACTTCAAGTGCTGCTGCGCACGCGACAGGGTGACCTTGATACGTGTGCCCATGAACGAAACAACTGTACCGTGTTAGTGGGCCCCCCTTCACCACTACGACCCTCCGAGAGTTCGCTCATTAGACTCACCTCGAACCCTTCTCTAATACCTCGGCTACACCCTTGTTGACTAGAATGCCTGCGATCGGTTGATACCCCCCGGCTAGGCCCTTGCCAATCGCCTGAATGTCGGGCACCACCCCCTCGCCCTCCCAAGCGTGGAGGGTCCCAGAGCGGCCCATGCCACTCATAACTTCGTCCATGATAAGAAGTGCTCCATGTCGATCGCAGACTGACTTCACAGCCTGGAAATAGCCGCTCACGGATGGGACACAGCCCAGGGCCTGTACAGATACGTTAGTCGACCCCGACTAAACTGTTGCTGCACGCTTGTTCGGCGGATCGTCTTACAGCTCCGACAACTGGTTCCGCCACAAAGGCGCATACATTCTCCGGTCCTACGCGGGTAAACTCTTCGTCAAGCTCCTTGGCAAGGCGGGCTACGTATGAGCCGTCCAATTCCCCGGGCGCTTTACCCCTATATGCATAACATGGAGACACATGGGAGACAACATGGTCGAGTAGCATCGGTGTAAACTTGGCTCGCCGAGTCACATGACCCCCCATCGAGAGGGCGCCCAGAGTCGTTCCATGATAAGACCTTTCTCGAGCTATGAAGAGATGTCTCTGGGGTTCTGGTGTATCCTTTTCTAGAAAGAACTGCCGTGCGAGCTTCATCGCTGCCTCCATGGCCTCGGATCCTAGACGTATTAGCAGTGACGTGACACTGACTGAGTTGGCCCGACATACCGCTGCTGACTAGGTAGGCCCGTGACATCTGGCCGCTGGTGGAATCAACGAGAAATTGACACAATTTCTCGCAAGCGGGGGTCGTGAAGAACGTCGAAGGGCTATATGCGATACTGTTGATCTGCCGCACCATGGCATCTGCCACCCTCTTGTCCCCATGACCGAGACAAGCGACCGCAGCGCCTCCAGAAGCGTCAAAGAGCTTCCTGCCGCCTTCTACCACATAGTGGTGACCTTCACCGCCAACTATGCGTGCAAATTGACCCCGTAGATCTCGATGGAGCACTGGCGAGTTGCTCGCATCAGTGAACTCCACAGTATCAAGGGGTTTGAGAACCATTGTGAGTCAAACAAGATTTACGTGGAAACGTGGAGGGGGTTCGGTAAGCAAGGGCTGGATTGTAGAGGGAGTAGGACGGTGTAAGCGGTAGACAATGCAGGTAGTTCAACGTTCGTGCCGAGCCTTTTATTACTGATCACCTCCCTCTCACGAAGCTCCTGCTCACACTTGCTTCAAAGGCCTGTAATTGGTAATGCGTACAACACGTATCGGCAAGCCGACCCTAGAAATGACTCTGCCTTTTTGTACTAGTCTCCGAGATAGCGCACCATGGCCCGTCGTTGGCAGAGGGGTGGCGTATCCGCCATTGCGTGGAAAGTGGTGAGGGGCGTGGACATGGAGAATAGAGTTCGGAATAAGTGAGTGATGCAGCTTGGAGAACCATGGCGGAGGTCTCTACCGAAGCAAATACCCCCGGTCAAGCGAGCCGTGAGAGCTTGAGCTGGCCCCGGTCGTGGGCATGGTGCTCCGCCCGTCGAGACGGAGGCACGCCATCGGCTTACCGGACGGTGCTCTTGATGCGGCATGCCGCTTCAGGACGAAAGCGGATAGCCGCGGACCGACGTGCAGCAGATGACGCCCTTGGTACGACTATAGGACCCTATATAGAATCGACGATGCTAGAATATCTTTTTGAGGTACCCGCAGACTTGTCAATGGGGGAGGACATTCAGGGCGCCGTTAAACTGATTCACAATGCCTTCGCAAGTTGCTGTGCCGTGAGTAGGGGAAGTGGACTTGCGAAGATGGAGCAGCTAGCAGCAATATCGGCTCGTTCCGATGTCGTGCCATCTTTCATCGGGATGCCGATGTTGTTTCGGGCGTGCCACTTCGGTGTCACTGTCCCGTGCCTGAGATTGGTGTGGCCTTTCTCGTCGTCAACGGTTCCCTTCCGCTACGTGTGTATCTAGCATCCGCAGAGTTTCGCCGCATTGTGACTTCCATGTACGAGACAACCGCACTGGCGAGATTTCTACAGCCCCTTCTCACGCGTCAATGCCCGCCCCCTTCGACCCGCCTATTCTCACTCCTGTATCCATACGGATACAAAGCCGTGACAAGATGACGTGGCCGAGGGCGACCGGGATTGACGGATGTGACCTGAGAGAAGAACCCCAAACTCTCAAAGTAAGCACTGGAGCGAAAGGATGCTTTGCAGGATTCACCGGCTGGGCTTGCAACCCATGCCGTCCACATCTCTTTGCGCGCTATCCGCCAGATGCCGTTTTCGGCGACTAGTATTCGCAATACCTCAGTACGAATCACTTTTCTTGCCTCGTCGATGCCGATCGGCTGTAAGTGGATACGCGCTGACCGGGGAAGAAGAAAACAGTAGCAAATTAGTCGATTGCGAAAAGTCGATACACAGTCACTTTTTGGGTAAAAGATTCTCTTGATGAGCTCGACATCCACCAATCGGGTGACCAACGGTTGACAGCAGACGTTGTATTAAACAACGTTGACAGAAGTGGGCACCAAAGACTCTGCTTCGTATCTGCAAGAAGCCTGCGGGAGCGTGGCTTGCCAGGGCAGCCCAGACTGTCGGGTCCTGGGTACGTGGGTGCGATTTTTTGATATGCAAGTCTGTAATTCTTCCACGATTCAGCGGATGTCCCGCCAAAACTAGAGTTCCGCTCGGCGAACCACATCGTCGAAGGAACGTGAGCATAAGTCGTGTGTAACAAAGGCACGGCATTGACGGGGGTCATCGGCCTTTCGTAGGTAGGGTAAAGTAGGAGCCGAGATAATGCAGGTAGTTGAAGTGGTAGGTGTTTAGCGTGAGTGGCATGATAAACGACAGGGAATGTGATATCGCCGAGGCGGCAGCAGCGGCACTGGGCAGTCGCCGGGATGGTTGGCTCGGAAGATGATGGTTGAGCAATGATGAGTTTGGCGTATACACGAGGTGTTGGTGGGTGCAAGGTCAACGGAGCTGAGTGTACTCTCACATCTTTAACAACCGGACAAATCTGCAACGAGGTGCTCTTGCCTCAAGTCATCAGATGTTGGTAGGTACAGTGCATCTCAGTCACCAACCTCACTTAGGTAAGGTAGTACGTCGTATAAAGAAGAAATAATACTTTACAACCCTGGATATTTTCATAAAATAGTCTTGAACAACATGGCATAGTTGTGAACCAAATCAATTAACACATGAAACCCATCGACTACCTTAATACGATATCAAAGTAAAGAAACACCGAAACTGTACGGTAATTCCAGGCAAGCTACGGACACAGATGAGGTAGGTAAGGAAGGAAATTACCTTATCTTAGGGTAGGTGCCTAAAGTACCCGCCTACCGACGGTTGAGACGGGAAATTGCGGGACAGCGAGCATCAGCCACACAAGGTATGGCAAGCCACAGTGGATTCCAAAAAGCACTTTACGCGTCCCACCTTGAGTCGCGTCGCATCGCGTTTTTGGATGGGAATTAGTCCCCTCCTTTTTTTCCTGTCGCTCACTCTTTGCGGCGGATCACATTTCCCCTCCCCCTCGGCCATCCAGTGTTCATGCTTCTTCAGCCTCCCTTGCACCTCATGTTGCCAACTCCTGTCGCAAACCTGCGCCTTTGATACCCATATCCCCCGATCGTCTCTTCTCTATTTCCAACTCCAATCTAAAGTCGACTCGAACACTAATTGGCGCCATGGATTCGTTCATGCTGCAAGATGCAGCCGCCTTGGACCGTGTGCGCGCAGCCCAGGAATTCCTCGACCCTCGTATGTCCGCTTTCCCATTCTCGTCCCTGCCTTTGCGAGCCTTTGCGCGCCTTTCCATGTTGCCCGCCAACTGACCTGGTTCAATCAAAGAGAATGACTCCCAAGGGCGCAGTTACAGATCTGCCATCATCTTGATGTTGCAAAAGCAACAAAGAAGACTTGTCGTCAACCTCGACCAACTACGCGCCCACAACCCCGAACTTGCCTCCGGAATTCTCGAAGACCCTTTCGACTACAGTCTCGCCTTCAACCATGCTCTCAAACAAATCGTCAAGACACTGCCCCAGTCCGGTGATGCAGAAAAGTTGAACGAGATCTCCTACTACTGCGCATGGGCTGGTAGCTTTGGCATGAATGCCTGCAATCCTCGCACATTGTCCTCGCAGCACCTAAACAGCATGGTGTCCCTTGAAGGAATTGTCACGAGATGCTCACTCATTCGGCCCAAGGTTGTCAAAAGTGTGCATTACAATGAGAACAAGGATGTTTTCCACTTCCGGGAGTACCAAGACCAGACCATGACCAACGGAGTCACCACATCGAGCGCTTACCCTCAAGAGGATGACGAAGGCAACCCGCTTACTACCGAGTACGGCTTCAGCACCTACAGAGATCACCAGACCGTTTCTATTCAGGAGATGCCTGAGCGTGCCCCCGCGGGTCAGCTGCCTCGTGGCGTGGATGTCATACTCGACGATGACCTCGTCGATAAGGTCAAGCCTGGCGACCGCGTGCAACTCGTTGGCATCTACAGAACCCTCGGAAATAGAAACACAAACCATAACAGCGCTTTGTTCAAGACTGTCATCATCGCCAATCACATTCTTCTCTTGTCTTCAAAATCGGGAGGCGGTGTGGCCACCGCCACCATAACCGACACTGACATCCGCAACATCAACAAAGTAGCTAAGAAGAAGAACCTTCTCGACCTTCTATCCCAGTCACTCGCACCAAGTATCTATGGCCACGCATATATCAAGAAGGCAATTCTTCTGATGCTTCTTGGTGGCATGGAGAAGAATTTGGAGAATGGCACCCATTTGAGAGGCGACATCAACATCCTCATGGTAGGAGATCCCTCCACGGCCAAGTCGCAGCTTCTTCGGTTCGTTCTCAACACAGCGCCGCTAGCAATTGCCACTACCGGTCGAGGCTCCTCGGGCGTTGGTCTGACGGCCGCTGTGACTTCGGATAAAGAGACGGGAGAGAGGAGACTTGAGGCAGGAGCCATGGTCATGGCTGATCGTGGTGTGGTGTGCATCGATGAGTTTGACAAAATGTCCGACATCGACCGTGTTGCAATTCACGAAGTCATGGAGCAGCAAACCGTAACAATCGCCAAGGCTGGAATTCACACTTCGCTAAACGCCAGGTGTAGCGTTGTTGCTGCTGCCAATCCCATCTTTGGCCAATACGATACCCATAAAGACCCCCACAAGAACATCGCCCTACCAGACTCCCTCTTGTCTCGTTTCGATCTCCTGTTCGTTGTTACTGATGATATCGAGGATACCCGGGACCGGCAGGTGTCGGAGCACGTTCTGCGGATGCATCGTTACCGTCAACCTGGGACAGAAGAGGGTGCGCCAGTACGTGAGAACGCCGGCCAGGCCCTCGGCGTTGCCATCAATAGCCAGGCCGATATCCAACGCCCCACCGATGTTTATGAGAAGTTCGATGCGATGCTTCACGCTGGCGTCACGCTGACCACTGGACGCGGCGCGAATAAGAAGCCAGAGGTGCTCAGCATTTCTTTCATGAAAAAATACATTCAATATGCCAAAACCAGAATTCGTCCTGTCCTGACTCAGGCCGCGTCTGACCGCATCGCTGACATTTATGTTGGCCTGAGAAACGATGAGATGGAGGGTAATCAGCGCAGAACCAGTCCTCTGACCGTTCGTACCTTGGAAACTCTTATTCGTTTGGCTACCGCCCACGCCAAGTCCCGCCTGTCTAATCGGGTAGACGAGCGCGATGCCCTTGCGGCCGAGGCAATCCTCCGCTTCGCCCTATTCAAGGAGGTGGTCGAGGATGAGTCGAGAAAGAAGCGCAGAAAAACGCAGACCACCGACTTTGCATCATCAAGTGAGGAAAGCTCGTCTGATGACGACGGCGATGATGAAAACTTTAGGAGCACAGCGGCCCGGACACCTGTCGCGAGGTCCTCACGATCGACGAGAGGCGTTGCCCGTCCTCGGCCAACCGCTGGCGCCAATGGTGCGAGTGGCCCCAACGGGGATGCCCATGAGAACGACGCGGAGACGCCTTCTGGGCCTGATGCAGTGGAAGAGGCAGAGGAAGATATTTACGAAGCGACGCCTCGAAGGTCCCGTCGTCGCGGTGATGGCGCGGCTTCTTCCAGCGCGGCACCGCACACGCAGACATCGTTTGCTTCATCCCTGCCCGCTTCCCAGCTGCCATCACAGTCGCAAGAGACCGGCGAGGATGATGATGAGCTCGCATCGGGAGCAGCTGGCCTTGCTATTGTTGACGAACCCATCAGTCCCCAGCGATTGAATGTTTTCAGAAGCGCTCTGGGTCAACTGCTCAATTCGGCCTTATTCGACGACGATTCCGCCAATGTGAATGCTGTCCTTGAAGCCGTCAACGCTAAGCTGCAGTCGCGTAGTGGCAGTGCCTTTAGCAAGGAGGAGGCTGTCAAAGCCCTCAAGAAGATGGATGAAGCAAACCAGATTATGTATGTTTCCCAGCTCGATTGCTAATCCTCTGTTCTTACGTGGCTAACTGAGAGATAGGTATACCGATGGAGAGCTTGTGTACAAGATTTAGGGCCGGATGGCATGGTGTGGGATTGATTATGATATGACATCTGGCGTTGGTATTATGACAGAAAGGCGGCGTCCCTGAGAGACATTATCATGTGAGGTAACGAATAGAGTGTCAATTACCGTGGTTCTTGCGCAGTGGTCTGTAGGGCCTCAGATCTAACGTATCCCGTCCTGCCTCGAGTGTTGCTCGTGTTTGTCGACCTCTTTCTGGATTTTCCCACGCTGATATGGAATTTGATGTGGACTCTACTGTACTAATTGTAGACGGGCTCGGAATTCCGCTAGCCGGTCCTCTACCCTTTCGCCGTTCCACGTCTCCTCGCCATTGTCATCTTTGCCCAAGGTCGGTACGCCAACTTGCTCGATAGCAAAACTGGCAGCTACACTGCCCCATGCTGCAGCTTCCTCGACACTCTTGCCCCTTGCAAGAGCGACAGCGAGGCCCCCCAGAAATGTGTTGCCGCCGCCAGTTGGATCTATCACTCTGGAGCTGTCCTGGTGAACGGCTGGAAACCACTGTTCGGTACCAGAATCTACCTCAATCTCCTCGCGAACAACGGCGCCATCGTCGTCCTGAAGCAGGCCGGCGAAGAGTGCTTCCATGTCGGTGTCTGGCTTAAGGCCGCCCCTGGCATAATCCTTCTTGCGACGCTTCGGGTCGGCCCCAACGCCTGTAGTGGGGTGGCGCTTGCGGCCGCCGTTCCGAGCAACGTAGCAGCCCTTATCACCGGCGCGGATGACAAGTGTGAAAGATGACAAAGGCATGCTGGCGAGAAGTTGCTCGCAAGATCTTTCTACGGCTGTCTTGGAAATTTCTCCGGTGGCTGGGTCCAGGCCATCATCGCCCATGAAACCGGCCAGCTCCGAGTGATTCGGACTGAGGATGTCGACTAGGGGCAGGCAATTTGTACAATTCAGAAGTTCATCGGGTGTACACAGGTCAGGTACGGGTTCCCAGATGAATATTGGTTTTATGTACGAATCGGGCGGGCATACACGCTTGCGGGCCGAAGTGATTTCGGAAACTAGGTCTCTGCATCTGGCCGGGGAGCAGATTAAGTGGAAGGACTTGGATAGTAACAGATGAGGCGTCAGGTCCCCTGCAGTGAGGCGCTTCTTGGGGGTGGTGTATTTGAAGGCGCGCTTCTCTGCATCCTCGTATCCGTTCCATCCGCGCGTGGTCAGTCGCTGTGGGTCCTCACGGAATACAACTGACGTCTCCCAGCTGCCGATGAGGTCGGTTAAAGACTGCGGAAAGTCGGAACCCTTGTCGACAATCCAGCCGACCGACGAGGCATCCGGAGGCGGCGAGAAGAGACGGGCTCCGAGAGCACCGTACGAGCCGGCGCCACCAAGTATATCAAAGACGGGTGGCGTAGGCGGCAAGAAGTGTATCTCGTCTAGTCCTTGTCAACAAGGATTCGTGCAGTGGAGGAATAGATGGGGGTGATCTTGGATTTATAAGGGGCGGGCTATCCATGGAAAGGGGTTTCTGACTCACCTATGATGAACATTCCCAGCGTCACAAAATCAATGGGAGGCAATGCCGTGAACTCTTCATCAGTAAGACGTTGCTCTGCCGGCGTTTGCGAGTCGACGTCGTCCATGATCACAGCTTCACAATTAGCATGGTTTAGGCTTGTTTTTTCTTCCTTTCAGGATAAGTAAGGTGTAAGGAAGTGCCTCGTACCTTAGGAGGCAGTCAAAATATCGCAGCAGGACAGATGACTTTGAATGTGAATTTGCGAGTGAAGGGCTTTTGAAACTAGGTTACACCCCCTTGGTTGTCAAGCACGGATTATTGGTCGCATCGAAATCGGTGAGAATGCACAATGCAAGCACGGACGAAACGAGGGGTCCTGTGACGGGCTAAGTTGTACCCTTGCCAGAGGTGAGGTGAGATGGAGAATCTCCCTTGTGAGACGTTGCAGGTGAAATAGATAAGTGAGGAAATAGGCCCAGATTTCTGGCTGCTGGGCCAATTGGAGATTCAAATTGGACTGCAGAAACGCAGCCGAAGTGAATATCAAAAGTCAACAACAACAATAACTAGACTACCTTAATCACACAGCGGCCCTGCCTTTCTTTCCATTTACCCCACCGCCCTAATCGGACCATGGATGCCCTCGGCATGAACGCCGCCGTGGTCTGTGGATATATGGTATCTGAAATGAAAGCATGGTAAGTTTCACAGATGAGCAAATACGGTAATATATCTACGTATAGTACATAAACATACGTCAGGTGATAAGCACGTGGCAGGGTGCCTGTGATAGAAAGAGGGAGGCTTCTAGAAGCTTATCTCACACAACTGGACTCCGTTCTCGGTGGTTTGGGGGACGAATGGTGTGACTGACAGCCGAATAGCGTTGCAGCGAGGAAAGGATGAGAGCAACAATGTGACAGGAGAGGCCTGTATCTCTTGAGCAGATAGGAAGCCTCGAGGTTGGCGAATATGCTCGAGTTCATTGCAAGTTATTTTCGAGGTTAAGATAAGATGAGCAGGGAAAGGGTTCGTATAGTGCTCACGGCCTGGAACGCGCCTCCTGCAGAAGTCTGACTGCGAGGCATGGAGACATCCAGGCAATGCTACAGCTTTGATTAACAGCCTCAGCTCAGCCCGTGGCTAGGAAGGTTTTTGAAAGCTGTCCGTAACCTTAGGTGGCACGTTCTTTTGCTGAGCAGAGATAACATGCCGTGCCATTTTGGCTCGACTGCATTGCTCCTAGGCTTCCCCTCCATGAACCACTTGCCGACTTGGGCGATTGTCTATAGAGTACATGTATACGGGGATACACTAGCTGTGCAAGTTCACCTTGCACAGATTGACTTGTGTTCGAGATTGCCTAGCGTGTTCGCCAACGTCACCTCAGCGTGTGCAAATGCAGATTACACACTCATCGCAAAGGAGAGGCTGTGATGGGAATCTCATGCGCATAGATGAAGGATCGATATTAGGCTCCAGTGCCCACCTAAGCTTGGGTATGGTCAGATAGTGAGGTCAGATGGTGAGGTCTCTTTCAACCAAAGGTTCTTGCTCTGAGATCCCTTACGCAGCCAAGTAACCAAGTTCAGGCTGATAAAGAGGCCGATATGGTCCAGTGCAGGTGCACACGTACCTTGCCTTACGTAGTAGGTATCGGTCAGGGCCTGGTGCCTGAGAAAGCGTGGCTGATGCCTTAGGGATGATACGCAAGGCATTCAAATACCGCAAGGCACCAGCAGTCAAAGTGGATGGATTTTCTCAAGGCTACCTTACATAGGTTCCTTACCTTAGCCTTAGCGACCTTAGGTAGGTAGGTACCTTTAATACGGATAGGTACACGAGCTTCCTTGGAGGTAGTAGGTACCCTCCTGTGTCTTCAGAGCAAAGATACGTACCGCCGCGTTTGTCCACCCCATCATCTGGCATGACATTGGATGCTTGCGATAATACCGATTCAAAACACCTCGTCGGCCAACCTCGCAGCTCTTTGCTCATTTACAAACATCTTCAGCGGCAACCGACCCATTGCTCTTTGCTAGGTGCATTTCCACCATCCCGGCGGCTCCGCACTAGCTGAAACTTCACCCCCAATCTTTCGGCTCTCCCCCAACCAACCTTGCAACTGTTGCTTTGCTGCGTTGAGCTGTTTCGACAGACAATCTGCACGAGGCCTCGTTGGCATTGAACCCGCTTCGTCGTGCAACAGCCGACCCTGCTATTGCCCCCTTGCTGACATTGTCTTTTTGTTATTACCGTCGCCCGCCTATCCACCCCGTCCTTTGCTACCGATCTCCGTCCTCTGCGGCCCTTCGTCACATCGTCTCTGCCACCCGCCAGTGCTCACCCCGGCCCATCGCCGCCGTCTCATAACCTCTACTATCGACATTCTCCCAGAAGCTTTAGCTCCTCCTCTGCCCATCATGGCAACGAACAATATGCACAACCTCACCACCCTCATCAAGCGGTACGTTGGTTGATTTCCTACCTGCCTAAATTGTTTTGCATTCAGCTCTACGGCAAAAATGAAGAGCTTCACTTCAACTTTGCTCCTATTCCTGGCCCGCTGTAAGCGCACTAGTAGCTAATCTCGAAACAAGGCTCGAGGCAGCCACGGCTAGACTCGAAGATATCGCCACCTCTACCATCGAGCTTCCCCAAGCCGTTCCCGCCCTCAATCAATCGGTCACCTCGCCTCCTGCTGCTCCCAATGCCTCAGCTCCTCCCCCGGCGCCTCAAGCCCCCGCCGCTCCTCAAGCTCCCCCCGAGCCAGTCCCAGAGTCCATCGAGGAGTTCGACCAATTCATATCCACATCGGTCGAGAAATATGTGAAAACCAGCCAGCAGCTGGGAGGCCTCGTTGCCGATCAGGTCAGTCATTCAATATGCGAATTGACCCTTTTCTCGATACTGATCCAGGTCTACACAGGCTGCCAAAGTTCTTCAGGGTTTCCAAGCCCAGCGCAACTTCCTCCTGATCACCACGAAGGCTAAGAAGCCTGATCTGAACGGTGCTGAAATGGCTGTGTACCAGGACCTCCTTAAGCCCATCAACGAAGCCCTCGTAGCTGTCAACAATATTAAAGAGTCCAATCGAGGATCGCCAGTCTTCACTCAACTAAGCGCCGTCGCCGAGGGCATCATGGTTCTCGCCTGGGTTACTGTTGACAACCGTCCTTATAAGCATGTTGAAGATTCGTTGGGTTCTGCTCAATTCTTTGGTAACAGGGTATTGAAGGAACAAAAGGACAAGTACGTGCTTCGTGACCAATTTGAGGTAACGCTGAAAGTCTGTTAACTAATGCAATGCTATGTAGGGATGCGCAACAAACCGACTGGGTGCAGGCCTTCTATCAAATCTTCCGCGATCTTGCCGATTATGTCAAACAGCACTTTGCTAGTGGCATCCCCTGGAACCCAAAGGGTCAGCCGGCTCAGGAAGTCGCCAAATCTTTGTCCGCATCTGCTGCTTCCGCCACTGCTCCTCCACCACCGCCGACTGGCGGGCTCCCGCCTCCGCCTCCGCCTCCCGGTCCTCCCCCGGTACTGGAGATCAAGGAAGAAACACCTGGCGGCAAGGGTGGATTGGGCGCCGTGTTCTCCGAGCTCAACAAAGGCGAAGCTGTGACGAAGGGTCTTCGCAAGGTTGACAGGTCGGAAATGACGCACAAGAACCCGTCCCTCCGCGCAAGCTCGAAGGTACCTGATGGGGAGGGATCAGTACGCGGGAAGAGCCCGGCTCCTGGCAAGAAGCCTAAGCCAGAGAGCATGCGCGTCAAAAAACCGCCAAAGAAGGTGCTTGAAGGCAACAAGTGGACTATCGTATGACTTCCTTCACCTTATCTAGGACGTTGTGGCACAGTTGACTGACTTTTCGATCGGTTCTAGGAAAACTTCGAGAAGGAGCCTCAACCCATTGAAATCGAGGCGTCTATATCACACTCCATTCTGATCAGCAAGTGCAGCAACACTACCATTATTGTCAAGGGCAAGGCAAACGCTGTTACTATTGAGAACTCGACTCGTCTGTCGTTGATTGTGGAGTCACTTGTGTCTACTGTGGATGTCATCAAGTCTCAGAACTTTGCGTTGCAGGTCATGGGGGCTGTGCCCGCTGTTCTAATGGACTCGATTGACGGCGCTCAAGTCTACTTTAGTAAAGACAGCACGGACACCAAGATTTACTCGAGCAAATCTTCAGGTATTAACCTCAATGTTATCTCGGGAGAAGACGAGGACTATGTGGAGGTGCCTCTTCCATCGCAGATTTGCTCTTACTTTGATGAGAGCAAGGGCGAACTTGTCAATGAGATCGTATCTCACTCAGGCTAAGACTGGGAGCTTTAGCCATAGACAAGGAAGGGGTTTGGGCTGGGTAGGGGTGGAGGCGGGTTGAGTTGTAGGAGTTGATAAGGCGGCGGCACATTTTGTTCTCCACCGCATACATAGCCTGCAGCATTTTGGGACTTGTCGGTTTAGACCCTTCTATTCCAACCTCGATACATTGACACACCTCGTCTTGCTTCCACTTTGAGCGCGGATGTACGAGGAATGACAGACAGGGGGGCTGTCGAGACAATACGGTTGATATTACCAAGCAAACAAAGTGCCTTTGTAGTGTACATCGAACCAGAGAAATGGAAAGACTGCGAAGGGGAATTTGAAATGTGATCGCGGCGGTGCCGACACCGCCGGTCACGTCTATCAGGTTGCCAGAGACGCTTCTACTGTATCGGTGTAAAACACGACCGGTCATCTACATATAACCACATATGAACACACACCCACACGCCCTTACCCACACGGCTGATCGATCGCACTTGGGACGCTTATTTAGTTTTCTCTCCTCCCGTCCAAACTGAAAACGACAGCTCATTCTCTTCGAGGGTTTCCTCCAAACCTTTTACAGCTTGGCCTTGGCAGGCTTAATGGTGGGGATGAGCAGGTCGCGCATCTCGCCAGCAGCCTCATTGAGGAAGAAGCTCATGCGCTGACTACCCAAGCCCTTGGAGACAATGTTGAAGTTGATGCTGTACTCAGGATAATGATTAGCCATGTGTCCGGCATTTGTGGTTTGAAGTGTAGCAGACGATAGCAGACATTCACACGTACCTATTCTCGTTGATCATGTAGGCAATCCCGAAACCGCCGTCGATGACCTGACTCCAACCGTACCCATTGAAGTATTCTGAGCTTAGCTGTGATGACGATAGATACCAGGAGGAAGAGTAGGAGAAAGCAGGATCCTGGTAGATGGCAGGCAGTTCTTGGCCAGGCTCGAGCAGCTTCTTCAGACCAAACAAGTGTCTGTCGACACCTTTGCCGTCTGAAGCGGCAGTAATGTACTCGAGGTGGGAGTCAATGGCTTGGCGGAACAGGTCAACCTTGGCCTTGTCCTCGACGTTGGGGTCGGCCATGGCATTGCACCACGAGACGGAGGCATCCGACACCGTTCGGCATGTCTCGGTGCGGCCTTGCTGGAAGCGGCGGGTGGCCGCCGACTCATACGTAGGGCGATTCTTGCCGTACATCTTGTGGTATGCCAACTGGATGATCATCTGAACATAGGCGTCAGGCGAGCACTTGAACTTCTTGATCAACCCCTTGCCGTAACCCTGGTACGCCTGAACGGCAAGCTCGTGCTGGCTAATGACATCGTGGAAGTCCTTTCTAGCGCGATCAATCTCGGCCTGTACTTCCTTGGTAATTTCAAATTTGACGACCTGGGGCTCAGGTAGATTGGAGCGAATCGAGGGGTCAGAGAGGTCGAGCTTGTTATTGAAGATGAGATCGTTGATAAAGTCGTTGAGACGATGAGTGGGGGTTCCATCCATCATGGAGTGTTCTCCCATGAATCCCGACGTAGCATTATCATTGACGATGAACTGAAGAGGCTTGTCGTACCAACGGTTGGCACCGTCGCCGTGCCAGTACTGGTGCGCACGTTCTTCGAGGGTAACAGGAGCTGCGTCGTCGAGGCAAACAACGAAGGAGGACGCCTCAACGGTCTCCAGAGAGGCGGCGTTCTTGGGGCTGGCCTTGAGTAGGATCTCGCGCGCATCTGACCAGACGTCGCGATTCTCGCTGGTCAGAGCGCCCACGGCGGGGACTCGCTGAGCCAACTCGTACACCTTGTTGAACTGCTGCTCGAGCTCTGACGCATTGAGTTGCTTGCCGTCTACCTCGTGCAAGATCTTGAAGATTTGGTTTTTGCGGATAGCAATAATGTATTTATGTTCCTTGTGAGAGAATTTGGCGGGATAGTCGGCGGGCTTTGCGGCGACACGGCTCGTGTTGAACATCCACTTGTAGCTGTCCATGCAGATGGGTAGTCTCTTCATGTATTCGGGTTCGAGTGTGCCGTCGTCAACCTGCTTCTTGAACTCGAGGACAGCTGAAGTGATGGCTGCGGCTCTCTTGGCAGGGTTCCTTCTCCGACGGTCGTCACGGTGAGAGTAGAAGTAGCTCACGTAGGGAACGACGGGATCTCTGTAGCTGAGGTATGCTGCATCGTTCCACCACTCATACAGCCAGTTCCGGTGGGCCGGATCTTCTCTACGGGCGAGTAACTTCTCCTGCAGCTTGCTGCCGACACCACCGGGCTTGACGAAGTCCTCGACAGCCTTTTTGCTGACAGCGAACTCGGATTCAGAAAGGAGGGGGTGGAGGGTCTTGATGTAGCGCGCAGCCGTTTCTTCGAGAGTCGGAACGGGCAGACGTGGCAAAGAGTCTTGGAATCTCAACATGGGGCCCTTGGACTTGTCCTCAACATATCCTATGCGCGAACCATGTCAGCTGGATCAACAGCAATGCGCCGAGCAATGGGCATCCACGGCCGTTCGAGGAAAGGGGCCGCGGGACACAGAGACGTTTGAGGAGTCGCAATTTACCTGAAGGGAGGGAACTGTTGTTCCGCTTTGCTGCAGGAGCCATGGCTGTAAAGGTCTATGGAGAAAGGAGATGTGGTTAGAAAGTGCGAAAGACGGAGCATGAGGCATAGATATGTGTTTGTATGAGTATGTGCGAGAGAGGGAGAATCTCCCGAAAAGCAATGGATGGAGCCGAAGAAGCGGAGCGGGGTGGGATCAAGGATGATGGAGTTGAGCCGAGGCCAAACAGCAGAAGAGAGAGAGGACAGTGGACGAAAGACGGAGAGCAACAGCAAACATACCGGGCGATTAAAGGTCAAATGTCTCAAAGAAGTCCTTGCCGTGGCAGACCTAGCCTCCAACGCTCGTAATGCGGCCGACATGACCAATTCTTGAAAAGGGTAGACGTGTGGTGGTGTGTGAGTGGTTGGGTGGTGTTAAAATAGGTGCAGTGCAGTGGTGGCACGCACGAAAAAGGTAGCCGCAGAAAGATCCGCGGCACACGGCAGACGGCAGCGATTCAGTCGTTTGGAGCCGGAGCGGAGGCTAGCCGGAGCGAAGGAGGAGACAGACAGACAGACAGCTGGGCGTGGAGAGGTGGCAGAGTGGCTGCTTGTCACAAGCCAAAACGCAGGTGCCACGCGGGATTGCCTTTAGGACCAGGGCGATGTCAAGCACAACAAGGAGGGATGTGTGGATTCCACCTCAGGTTTGGGTGCCTGTGTTGTGCAGTGAGGTAAGGTAGGTAGGTACCTACCTATTCGTACGCAGAAGGAGTGGAGGGGGGCGAAGCCGCAAAGGAGGCGGCTGCGGTTCGGTACGGGGTCCGGCTATGGGGAATGGCTGGGGTATGGGGTCTTGTCGTAGCCGCTATAAGCTGCTTCCAGTCACTGTGGACGAAAGCACCGGGGGGGTTGAGGACTGGTTTGGTGATACTTCGGGCTACCGATGTCCAGACTCGTAGCGGAAGCGTGCCCGGGTGACAGGAATGTATGCTGAGGTGTGTGAAGTTGACGGAGGCCAAGGTAGTGAGCCTGTCCTATTGTAGGGTTGTGAGAGATGGCGTGGGATTGCGTCTTGTCGATGGGATGGCTGGCACAAGGATGGGCCGGTGTGAGGTAGGTAGTGTGGTAGTTCAGCGCCGTGTGACTACCTTAGGGAGGGACTGCAGTACCAGACAGGTACCCTGTGCTACCTAGGTATCCAGAAGAGAAAACAAGCTGGATACACTGAACAGAGAGGATGGCAAGGGACCGAAAGATAGAGCGAGATCGAGAGATGAAGCAGGAGAGGTGGAGAAGAAATGAAAGGAAGAAAGAATCGTGCTGCTGTCTGGCGTCCTCTGGGTATGTCCTGTGGTAATATGACGAGCGTAACCGGGCCATGGCCCAGAACACTGGGCGCAATTCATTCTTCTTCTCTCCCCCTTCTCAGACACCAGGTCTCTGACCTCTCTCCCTTCCGTTGGCTCAATTCTCATTGTAGACCGGTGAGCACGATGCCCGACCGTCCGGCGGAGCAGCGGAGACGGACCTGGGGGAAAAGGGCACGCGCTGTACAGAGTAGACGGCATACCGCAGACTGCATTTGAGTCTTGACCCCCGCTGCATGCGCGCGCACAATACCCCGGATCCCATGATCGCACGCTTTTCCTCAAAGTCCCTCACTGGCCCAATGTCCCTCGGCGCCTCGCGGTGCAGCCGGCTAGTCGTCTTCACTGCCATGGTATTATGGTTGTGGGTTGGGCCTTTGAGCCGAGGTAAGACAGGGATACAGACCTTAGCTCAAGAAACGACCCAGCCCATGTATGCAGGCTTTACCCCGTACTTTTAGTATCTTATTAACTGTGCCGACCGCCTCGGTGGGTACGACCCCAGTCTGGTCTCCGCTTCCAAAGTCCAAAGTCTTGATTCGTTCACTATTAGATCAGGAACGTTCTGAGATGCTGTCACCAGAGGGCGGGAAATCGTCGGGTGGGCCAATTGACTTCCTTCTTTCCTTTCGGCTTAGCGCCACATGTCGGTCTAATTCATACAACCGGCACTCGTCGCATCCCCAACGCCGAAACTCCCACTCACAACCGCCAAGCTATTACTACATCTACCTTGGTGGGTATAATGGTGCATCCGATCGGGCTTGCCTCCTTGGCACCCTTCGTTGGTCAAACACACCTACCAATAAATTTCAGCTACTCATCGAGAGAGGAAATGAACATGCAACCGGTCAAAATTGGGTGAACAGCAAAACAGTCTTTGCACGGACCTCCAGGAGGGCAGGTCCGAACAAGGCCGGACTGGAACACAGGAGGATCGAACTGATTAAAGTGCCTCCTCCAACTGACCCGGACGGACCCGTCGGTACCTTACCAGGTACCTAGTTATCTGAGGCAAAGTACCTTAGGTGGACTCCCGAAGTGTCTCGAAGAAGGGAATTTCCAAACTTCCGAAGAAAGGTGTTTTCGCTTTCACTTTGACTTAGGCACCAAGGGAACACCTATGGATAAGGTACCTAAATGAGTTGGATGTGTTTGCTCAAGCGTTACATTGAAGCACGGCCCCACAGCCCGGGCACCTGCCTCAATAACCCAGCTCACGGCCGCGATCACGAACACGGTCACGGCGCTCTCCTTTCGCACATTGCGGGTCAGCGTCCCAAGCACCACTGCCGCGCTGCCGTACGTCTCGGCATCATGTTCAAGTGTAGTGTATTGGATGAAAGCTCCGGATATATTAGACCCATAAACAAGTCAAGTACACTCTTCAGTAACTTTCAATCGCGCTCTCGTCCTTCATCTGTCAGGGCCTCTATCCAGACATCACTACCAGTCCCACGTGAGTGCCCACAAGGTACCTAGGTTCGCCATGCTGCTTGCACGTTGAATTCTACCTTACCTAGTGACTTGCCCAATTATCAGACATAGCCTACCTACCTAATCTCACCTATGCAGCTCTCGTAAGATCTGCCTTGGGACACTCCGCAATTGCGTGTCATCGCACTGGACCGATTCTGAATTCAGGCAATTCTACAACGTCGTCACCTTTCCCAACATGTGAGAGTAAGCTATACACTACGACAACACACATCAACTGCGCCACCAGACTGCTTCATCACGAGATCACCACCAGATGCAGAGCACAATGCTAGCATGTGTCAGCGCCCGTTGACCATGGTAGAACCGACATAAGAAGCTTGTTCTTCGTAGCGCGCTTTGCGACCACCATCAGTCGCTCATCCTACCATCCTCAATAGACATCATACACAAGGCGAAAGCAGGCAGATAACGGATAATGTAAGTATCTAATACAGTTGCAACAATCGACAACACGTCGCCGAGTCATTGGAATCCCTCCGACGCCCAAAATCACCCAGACTATTTCAATTCACCACAATTATTTGTGCCGTTCCCTGTTCATCACCAAGCCAAACCCCTTGCAAAACACACAGGGACCCCTTCCCCCCCTGCGCGCACGCACACACACACACACGCACACACACCCGGGGAGAGAGAGAGTTACATTCGTCTCACTGCATCTCATCAGTGTCTTCTCCAAGCCATAGACAACATCTGCTGAGTCGCATCAAGCCTCAAAGCTCTTGATCGGCCCTCCGCTACTCAATGGCTGCACCGCGCTCGCCCCGGACGCCGCCTGGAAGGTGAGATTGGCCCCGTCAGACATTGCTTCCTGAGCCTGCTTAAGACCTTGTTCCCCACCCGTCTCGACTGCCGTCTTGAGTCCGTCCTGCACCTCGCGGACGCGGCGCTTGAACGCGAGGCGGTCCAGGAACAACTGTTGCCGACCTCTCTCGAGCTCTCTCCGCTCTGCTTGCAAGATAGCCTCCATCTCGTTGAAATACTTCAACTTCAACTCCAGCTTCTGGAGAGTGAGGTTGGCCGCAGCGGACACCAGTCTTGTCATCTCGCGTTCCTCGTGTGACACCAGACCGGCAGCACGGGCACCCATAGTAGCCATCGGAATGGTCGCCAACGTCGTTGTCGTAGTCGTAGTAGTAGTCGTTTCTTGCCGGATGTCAATCTCCATTGAGTCACCATCCTTGTCTTTGCCTTTGCCGTTGGTCACTGCTTGCTCCTCTGAGTTGCCACCCTCTAGTCGCCTGCGAAGCTTACGCGTGAGCTCTTGGGCAGACTTGTTTGCCGCTGCCGCTGTGCTGGCAGGGTCCGCGAGACCGGCAAGGAAGCCGACAACAGACATCACAGGGTTGTCCGCCTGGCTGAAAGGCAGATGACCGCCCTGTTGTCCGAGCATTGCAAGGCCGGTTGGCGCATTCACGGCAAGGTCCGAGTCCGCATACTTGCCCTCGATATCCAAGGACAAGAATTGCAAGACGCACTCTTCGCGTGTCCGCGTACCCACGTGATCCGCGATCTCATTCCAATCGTCGTCCATTCTCTCGATGCCTTCAAGCAGCCGAAGAATCTCGGCATCGCTCCACGGTGCGTCTCTGTCAAGGACGGTCGTGTATGTAGGGTTTTCCATGCGGGTAAACTGGGCACTTGTCTGGTTGCCTGGGAGGTGGCCCTCGAGAAAGCAGCTTGGGCAAACATCGTACTTGGTCTTCGAGTTCGGGTCGGCCTGCGAACTGTGATAATATAGCCTGGTGCAATCGATACCGCAAGTGTGACAGTTGACCTTGACAATTGGGGTCTTGGTAGCTTCTTCGATACCCGAAACACCGTTCGTCACTGGCGTTTCGCCATTGGTCTTGGGTTCGCTCTTGTTGAGTTTTGACCCTTTGGCACTTGCTTCGTAAATATTGCGGCTGACTTCCAGATTGAGCTCGCTCTTGGCAACCGGTGTTGCTGCAGCCTTCTTTTCTGTATCGGTACTGGGCTTGCCAGCAGAAACGACAGCATCGGCAGATGGCTGCCACGGCTGAAGACCACGAGGCGTGTCGCAAATGATCTTGAAGTGGCCAGTAAAGGGGGGGCCGACATGCGAGGGCCGTTGCTCTGCATCAACCTGCAGCAATTCAATCAGTTCAGCGTCCAAGACAGCGCATCTCTTTCAGATTTTACCTGGTAGTTGATCAGCCCCCACTGCTCGAGGAATGAGTGGACGCGCATGATAGCGCAAACATCTCCAGCCAAGTTCCGTCGGCAGGCCGTGACAGTAAGATATTCCACAGGATTCAATCTGTAGGTGTTGATCATGAAATCACGGTAATCTTTGTAGACAGCTGGCGTTTTACTGCGGTTGCGGCTATTGAAGAACTCGGACATAGCCTTGCGCTCGATGTCGTTGATCGTGTTCATGTCAAACCAGGTACTGTAGCTCGGTAAAACGATGGCGTGCGTTTGCGAGATGAGATGTTCTCGGGCCGCGGATTCGAGTGTCTCCTTGGTCTTGGAGTCTTGTCCCTCCGCATCGTTTCCAGCTGCGGCATCATCGCTACCCTTTGCGGCTTGGCTGTCCTTTGCTTCGTCGCGGGCACCGCCCATTTCCTCATCTTGCGTAGCCTCGGGCACGGGGCCATCGGGGGCGTCGAGGGGGTTATCGGATGTAACGCCTGGTGCAGGTGTCGCGCTATCCTGCTTGATGTTGGGTTCGGCGACCGGGCCCTCGGTCATTTGGACATCTGGAAGCATGTTCTTGTTAGATGCCATGCAACTGTACCAGCAAAAAGCAGCGTCAATGAGGTCGACGGCGGCACACACCTTCAGCTCCATCTCCCGAGTTAGGCGCGACAGGTTGTAGAGGTGGTTGCGAAAGAATGGGGTTGCTGCCAGGGGATGCTGCGTTGGAAATTCCGTAATTGGGTTGGTCCTCCATGATGACTTGTGGCAGGATAGATCTAAGGAGGAAGCGGGCAACCAGACTCTTGTAAAGGCGCGGAGAAGCTCGAAGGCGCGACGCGCAAAATGGAATGCTGATCGCACAGATGAATGACCCTGTGATATGCGACTGTCAGAATTAGCTGATTGATGATGCAGCCTGCGGGTGTGCCGCTCCAAAAGCGCGTGGTTTCTGATGAGAGATGATGAGGTGTGGTCGTTATGGAGTCGCGTCTGGATCTGGAGAAATTTTGGCGCGAAGATAGGTACCAGGGGAACTGCTCTACTCCTGGGGCCTCTCCAGGTGTGCATCCATCCAATGCACATTCACTCGCCTGGAGAAAGCTGAAGCGTGACGCTGGGTCCATGTAGTCACGTGTTCGTATCAGGGTCACGTGAATTGGAGAGACAGAAAATGAAGTATGACTAAGTCAAGGGCCTAGTCTACTGTCTATCATCCTGAGGCCGAGAGCTCGGGACAAAAAGCCGAGTGGGTTGCGGTGGCTACCTTATTCTCACCCCCAGGCGACCCTGTCCGAGAGCGCCTTCACTGATGACGGCACTTTAGCAGCTGAGAAAGGCTTCATGCGAACTCGGCCTAGTTACCTCGGGCCGTGTCCAACCGTTCCTCTACAACTCGCCATCCTCCATAACAACCTCGAGTCACTCAGCTCACGGTGAGCTTCGCCAATTTTTCATCTGAACGAGCTCAGTAAATTTGGTGCTTGTTGCATTTGTTTGTACCCGTAGCAATGCTGTTCCTTGCTCGAAGAGCCACTGCCAGCGGGGCTGCGGCCGCGTCTATGGTATTCTCGGGGTTCCGAACTGCATCGAGAAGAGACCTGCTGTCAACCCTCGCCGTTCTCGAGCAGAGAGAAGGCAAGTTGAACCACGGTTCATTGAGCGCCATAACTGCGGCAAAGAAACTGGGCGGATCCATCCATGGCTTCGTGGCGGGAAGCAACATCAAGGGTGTTGCCGATGAGGCAGCTCAGGTTGAAGGTGTTGAGAAGGTCATTGCAATTGATAACGCCGCGTATGACAAGGTAGGCCCTTTGTTGAGAATATAAATTACTCGGAAAGTTCTGCGATTAACATTGAACTCCTGCAGGGTCTACCCGAGAATTTCGCACCGCTGTTGGTTGAGAACATTAAGAAAGGCGGCTACACCCACATCATCGCTGGACATACTGCCTTTGGAAAGAACTTGATGCCCCGCGTTGCAGCCATTCTGGACTCGCAGCAAATTTCCGATATAACTTCGATCGAGAGCGAGAACACCTTTGTCCGCCCAATCTACGCTGGCAATGCCATCGCTACGGTAGAGTCATCCGATGCGATCAAGGTCATAACCATCAGAGGCACGGCCTTCCCTGCAGCAGAGGTTGCCAGCGGCTCAGCTGCAGTAGAGGATGGTGTTGATCCTAAGTCTGACTCTGCTACTGAGTGGGTATCAGAGGATCTTGCCAAATCGGACAGGCCGGACCTGGCTACCGCTGGGAGGGTTGTTTCTGGCGGCAGAGGCCTCAAGTCCAAGGAGGAGTTCGACAGGGTCATGCTACCCCTCGCCGACTCTCTGGGTGCTGCCGTTGGCGCCTCCAGAGCCGCTGTGGATAGCGGGTATGCTGACAACAGCCTTCAAGTTGGACAGACTGGCAAGGTCGTTGCACCTCAATTATACTTGGCTGTTGGCATTTCGGGTGCCATCCAGCACTTGGCTGGCATGAAGGATAGCAAGGTCATTGCCGCTATAAACAAGGATGCAGATGCCCCTATTTTCCAAATTGCGGACGTCGGGCTCGTTGGAGATCTGTTCGATAAGGTGCCAGAGCTGACGGAGAAGATCAAGCAGTAACAATGTTCATTGGTTTATAAAGACGGGTGTTTATACTTTTCACCATGGTGCAAAGTTCCGGGGCCCTATGCTCTACTCTATGACAGAACCTCAAGCATGGCCTTGGTAGATGTGAACTTTTCCCGCTCCTTGCCCGCAGTCCGGCCCTTTTCCTTCTCCGCACTATCAATCCTTTGCCAATCTTCCCAGCTGATTCTCTTTGAAGCTGATTCGCCAACTTCGGCGCGTACGCCATTCCACCCTGCCGCGGGCTCCCCATTACCCGTAGAAAGGAATTGCAAACCAGATAGCCAATCTTGGATGATGGAGTCGCCCGTCTCAAATGCATCCTGCATCGTCGAGGCAATGACGCCAGTTGGCCCTCGCTTGACCCAACCGGCACAATAGACACCGGGGGACACCCCGGACTGCGTCGCTTCAGACGCGTCGCCTTGCTCCGACGTAACAACTCTGCCGCGTCCATCATTCATCACGACGCCTCGTCGATCATCAAAAGCTACGCCAGCGTCTTTGAAACCTGGTAAAGGAGCGGACTTGTACCCGATGGAACGGAAAACCAAGTTCGACGGTAACGTGATGGCTTCACCGGTAAGTCGTGCCTGAGCACCCGGGTCGAATTTGTGAGACAGTTCCGTCCTCTCAAATACGGTGCTACCAACATCGGCAGGGGTGTTTTGGCTGGCCAAGAATTCGACGGGGTTCAAGCAGAAGTCAAGTGACCATGACTTCTCAACTTCCTCTGGGCGGGCCGCAGAGCCCTTGGCCACCACTTCCATTAAACGTCTTGCTGGCCGGGGAAGTGATTTGATATCAGGGGGTATGAGCGTGCTGTCTGCCGGATGGAAGCCAACACTTTGAATCTTCATCAGCTCCCTAACCTCCTTGATGGTGAATGCTGCCTAGATAGAAAGTTCAATATATATGCTCTGGGTGGATATGCATATTTCAGCCGTCTACTCACCTGCATTGGACCTCGTCTTCCAACGACATGAACCCTTTTGACACGAGACGTTGCAAGCTGAGCAAGGGCCTCTTCTGTGATGTCAGTCCGCCGCAAGACATCAATATCTTCGAGGAGCATTCTGGCAACATCCAGGGCTACGTTGCCTTGACCAATGACGACAGCTTCGTCTCCTTTTGTGAGATCTGGCGCCAAACCGGCATATTCAGGAAGCCCATTATACCAGCCTACGAACTGGCGAGCTGAGTAAACGCCTTGGAGGTTAGATTCTCCGGGAATGCCCAGGGTCCTATCCTTGGCGGCCCCATATGCTAGCAATACTGCATCATAGTTCCTCAATAATGTGGAAAAGGGCACATTGCAGCTGTCCGGATGACGGCCCGAGTCGCCTATGGACACATTGCCCATGAAAGAAAATTTGGGCGAGCTCGCAACCTCTTGGAATTTGTCCTGGCAGTTCTGGGCTATGTCAGCAGTGGGCGCGGGTCGAGTATGTAACGAGATGAAATATCGAACCTTGACTTCGGGATGGTCCGGGGCAACGCCGAAGCGGACGAGGCCGAAGGGCACCGGCAGCGACTCATACATGTCCACTGTGGTCTCTGGAAGTTGTGACATTACGCGATAGGCGGAGTAGAAGCCTGCTGGACCGGAGCCAACAACGGCCAGTCGGAATGGGGAGTTGGGTTGGCGGACTTGTCTTGCGACGGGGGGGGCAGTACTCGACTGGCGCGACCCAGAAGCACCGGTGCCTGCTTCTGTCCGGAGACGGCTGCAGGCTGGGCTCAGCCGGACCCAAAATCGGGGTAGAATCATAGGACCGGTGGAGAGCAACTCGGAATAGAATTTGGTCTGAATCTGATCGTGTATACCTACCGAGGTCTGACAACATTGACTTGCGCGCTGGAAGCTGCGTGTCCAACCAATGATAAATTGGAGGTACTTTGCTTAATGGACAAAGAAAACTCAACGGAAGCTCAATCCACGTAGCCCAGATACAAATCCCCAAGTGAGTCAAGTCAAAGGAAGGCGCCGGGGCGGAAGCTTTCGGATTTAAATCCAGAATCCGGAAGTCGGAGCCGGACCAAGTTGTGGTGCCGATGTGAAGCACTCGGCGGTGGAAGAACGAACCTTCAGGTGCGTCTCCGGTCTATTAAAGCTATTGAATGCCCATGGGCAGGGTGACATAACAAGGCTCAGGCTTCAGCTGATCAGTTTGAGAGTCAAATCAATCAACGTTGAAGGAATAAAGCACGAATTGTGCTTATGTGAACTTGAACCGTAGTTGCCATGGCTAATCGACCTGTACCTGATTGCAGGTTCTCCAGTAGAGTTAGGTACGGATACCTTACCTTACCTTAGCTCTCGAAGTGCCCTGTTGCCTGCCTTAATATCGAGGCCTGGTCCAAGCTTTGAACGTCTTTCCAGCCCTGTCTTGTAAGTTGGGGTTTCGGGAGCCAGTGGTGGATATCTAAGGTAATATGCTATCCATGATCCAGATAGGTAAGATATATCAATGATCGCCGAGCCAGTGCGAGGTGGGCAGGCAACTTCCAATGACCTCTGCAAGCAGGGACTGGATATGAGGTACAGATACCAAGGTTGCCTGAGCGCGCTGGGGTTGACTACCTACCTCATCCGCACAGCAGGGGTGTGTAGTTGCCATAGCAACTGCTACGCGCCCGCTACAACACTAATAGATCCAAGATGTACGGATACCTAACGAAAACCAACCTATTTGGGTACCTAGGCCACCAAACAACTGGGCCTGGTAGCGATGAGATGTGAAGGCCCCCTTCCTTAGGTGCTTCAATCTCTGCAAGCCTTGAATAAAGACGGATTTGGCTTGGCCCAATCATTGCTCACCTCACTGTGGCCTTTTCTGCTTCTTGGTCCCTGTCTTACTCTTAACCGTCCTTCCTCGCCCTCCGCTTCACTGCCCATTCCCCCACCCCTACTTCTTTCATTCACGTGTCGGGCATGGTAAGATAGAGGAACCGAATCCTCGAACATCTTACTCTAACCACCACAGACCCTTCGAGTTGGCGGCATTCCAGCCGTCTAATCTCTGTCGAAGTCTTTTTGCGCATTCCTCTCCCTCTCCTCTCCGTGAACACAGCAAGGACAAGACCAACGCCGTGTCGCGACGATGGCACACCAACCATACCTCTACAACGTCGTCAGCAACAACTCTCGTTTTCCAGAGCCGAAGTTCGACCCAAAGGCAGTGACCCGCGCAAGCTGGGAGCCGCAGCCACGCAAGCCGAAGCCTGAGGGTCCTCTAGTTACATTCAACCGCCATCCCGAGTAAGTATGCTTGGTATATAACCTCCGGCGAGAACGGCCAATGTTATCTGGGAGCGGCTTACACTGACTATCCACCCTGTTGCAGTGCTCATCTGGTCCTCAACCATCGATCCAACAACTATGTTTCCCTCAGTCCTAGAACGAAGGGCTGGATCAAGTACATGCGCATCGTTCAGTTGGGCTTGAGGGTCCTGGAATTCATCGGTGCCGCTGGACTACTTGCCCTTCTCATCCTGCTAGACAATATAGAGACTTTGGCCGGCTGGGTCATGCGTATCACGGTTCGTTCGTTGCCTGGGCTACCTGCGCCAGAACTTTAAGCATCCGAAACTGACTGGCGTATTTACAGCCTGGTGTGGCCATGGTGCATTGCCTTTACGCCATTTACCACCTTCACCGGCCCGCTGGAGACCGCAGTCCTGCCTCGTCTACCGCTTACCAGCTTTTCGCCAGTATCTCGGATCTGGGCGTTATGCCCCTCTACGCCTACGGTGCTCTCAATGTCAACAGCAGCGGCGCTACTTGGAAAACCCGCCTTGCCGACCAAAGCCTGCTGGATGATTTCCTCCCGGCCGTCTTCTACACCTTCATTAGCGCAGGGGGGCTGCACTTGGTCTCCCTCGGCATCTCAATATGGCTTGGTATCATGTTCCGCAAGATTACCAGCCTACCCCCCGACATGAACCCCCTAGAGGATCACCTCACCTCCCGAGCCAAACACAAGAGAAATAAATCCAGTGTTGCGACCTCTGTGAGCGGCGACAGCGAAAAGAGAATGTCTACACCCCTCGAGGGTCGTCGTCGATCAGGTGCTCCGTATGAGGACGTATCTCGACCCCCTAGCATCCCTTTTCAACGAACGCGCGCCGGCTCAGACGTTTCCAACTTCACCCGCAATTCCTGTGCCGATCTGCCCAGCCGCCAGTACCAAGTCATTCCAGGGAATTCACAATATCAAACAGCAGGCGCCAGCGAGTACGCTCGCATGTCTGCGCCTCGATCCTCGTACCGCGGGTCTTATACCGAGGTACCGCTCCATGAGTCCAATGTCGCAGGATCCCGAACTTCTCTCCCCTCCGCAGTCCCGACACCTGGAGGTAAATTTACTGAAACGTGGTTTGCGACGGACTCGATGATTTCGCGGACTCAGAAGCGAAACCGCGCAATGGACCAGGCCACGACCGCAGCGAATACGCAGCAGCAAACGAGGACCAAGACTTACGAAGCCCTGTCCCAGCGATACAACGTCGCAGATTCCGACTCAGAGCGCGACGAGAACGATCTTGCCGGCAGTGACTTCGAGAATGATATCGGCAAAAGCCCTCACCCGAACCCGCTGAAGTCCAACCCGACGCCCCCCAAGATCAAGACTCCGTATTACTCGCTGCAGGACACAGCGTTGTCGGAAGTAGACCTCAACTCTCGTAGGGTCAGCGGTACTAACGACATTGCCGACGAAAGACTCTCATCGCTCGTCCCTCAGCCCTGGCCGCGCGACCGCGACAGCTCCATCCAACCCGAGGCCGATTTCTACTCCAAGCCATACGGTGAGCTGAAGTCGGCAACTCCTCCAGTCATGATTGGCGGCAACCGCCAAGTATCGTCTGGCAACGACTTCACAGAGAAAAGATACTCGTCTGCCTATGGAAGGCGTAATGTGAGTGGCAAGGTCGCCGAGGAGGGTCTTGCGGGGTCGAAGGGCGTTTATTCGCACTAGAGCGTGGCGTAGGGATGAGGAGGGTTCGGTAAGGGAAGCGACAACCCGATCTAGAATAACGGACTTGTTTTGGGAGTTGATACGAGAACACGGTTTGGCTTCACGACGTCCAGTGGGAAAAGATGGTAGGGCATGGATAGCTTCATTGAATGTAAAGTAACGAAGAGAAGACGAGTACGCCGTGATACCAATACCAATATCAGATTTACCTTTTGGCATGTAAACTATTCAATTGCTCCTCTCGCCGATATTTTTGAACAAACATTGAACACCGTGAATTAAAGTGCAAGAGAATGAATCAGTATATGACCAAGACCAATTCCTGCACGAGATATTGCAAACTCCAACGTTGAGTCATGGTCGAGCATACTCGGCCCAGTCGACTCGAGACTCATTTTCCTTCCATCCCCTGTCGTCCCAGGGACCTAGTCCGCTCAGGTGCCTCATCGTCGGCCGTCCATGCGGACAATTCCACGGCTTATCCAACTCGCCCATGTGACGGACCAGCTTCTCCATCTGACGCTGAGCCAAAGCCTTGCCAATCATGACACTGCTGCGACACGCCCTCATAGCGAACATGGACCGCACCTTGGACGGCCGAGGGGCATAGCTGATCTCGGTAAGATGGTGTTCGCTGAGCAAAGAAATGAGTTCCTCGAGGTCGGACAATGTGAACGTTGTCTCGCGGCTCAGGGGCAGAGCGAGGAGCTTACACCTGGCTCCCACGGGTTGGTCGCCTGAGCTATCTACGCTGACCTTGAAGCCGTTGATGTCCAAGGCAGCAACGTTTTCCATGACGATTTCTTCCTCCAAGGCAGTCAGTTCTAGCTGTTTCGGGCGTACTAACCTCTGAGACTGTACCACCGTTGTCGACTGCAGCCTCTCAAAGTTGTATTTCTCGTCCGACGCATGTTGGTCGATGATGAATAACTCGTCGTCCCCCGTCCCGTCTCCGTCTCGATCGTTTGGCGCATGTCGAACTGCAATGATGAAGCCGAGGTTGAATTGTCCAACAATGGTCATCTTTGCGAAATCCGACTTTGAGATGATCAAGGACAGAACTTCTTCCGCATCATCGGCCTTTATTGCCTCGATGCCTGAACTCTTGGGTTGTTGACCTCGCTGTTGGGTAACGCGCCCAAGCTCGGCCTGCCAAGATGTAATGCGAGATTGCAAATCGGCTGTGTTGACTTTTACATTTTGCCTCTGCTGCACAGTGGCATCTTTTCGCCTGGTCCCCCCTTTGAGAGCACTCGACCGGTTGTCTGCGAAGATGTTCTGCGCTACCAAATCATCCTTCGAATTGTCGTCATTTGTTGCCACCGTTGCTACTGGCACCGGAGTCTTGTTGCGACTCGGTAAATCTACATCGGGTTCAGGTATCGGACTCGAAGAACCTTCGGGTCGATCGGAAGCAGACTCGAACCCATCGTCATGACTGACGGTGATCTCATCTGCCGGCACCTCGTATGACGAGCTACTGTCGCTTGCCCCAACATCATCTGAGTCTGCATCTGCAGCTGTGCCGAGGTTGTCTGATGGCTCAGTGCTCGCCCCAACAATCCTTTCGTGCCTCGTCGAATGGCTCGCAGAGAACATCTGGGTCAGCCTTGAGCCAAAAGAAGTGGCCGCCGGGGTTGAGCTTATTGACGACTGAGAAACCCTTGCTCTCTTTGGAGTAGGTTCCATCGAGCCGGTAACGGTGCTGTTTCCAATAGAGACAGTTGCAACTTCAAAAGCCGACCGCTTAGGTAGCCGTGGAGTTGATACAGACGTGGAAGGGTCAACTCTTGGTGCTCTTATAGGTGTCATGGCAGGAATCTGGGCTTGTCTGCTCTCGTTGCCGTCATCAGAAGATTGTAAGACACCACCCCGCAAAGCGTCTGCCCCATAGTCTGTATCGGCGTGTAGAAGCCGAGCATTGAAGTCAAGGACTTGTTGGGGCTGGCTGAAAGAAGTACTTGACTGAGCTTTGCCTGTACTTGCTTGATAATCGGCATCTTCCGCGGCCACATCATCCTCTGATTCAGATGCACCAGAGTCAAGAGAAGTAGCCGCAGCTTTTTTGCGATCGTCTTCGGCAAGGGAATTTTCGGATCTTGTCTCCCTTTGCCGTTGTACATCACGATCGTCGGCTTTTCGTCCAACCCAACGGCTGATCAAGCTTTGAGACTGTAGCTCTGCCGTTGTTAGCTCTTTTAGCTTCTTTTTACGGGGTTTGCGCGATGGCTTGGCGAGTGAGTGGGATCCTTCGCCATCATCCTCGGTGCTGAGCTCACCGTCGTCATTTAGAGTCGTCGGCTTCATGGGGACGGCGGCTACTTGGTTCGAGCGCGTGTCATCATCGTCGGAACTGTCGTTTTCAAGAATTGGTGCCTCACTCGTTGTCTGTGTCCGTTGTGTTGACTGCTGTGCGGCTGGGATGGAGTAGTCTTGGGAGCTGAAAAGCGAAGACAAGGCCTCCTTCATAGTCTCCAACATACGATTCTGGTCATGCAGCATGATGGTGCGCTTATCAGGGCTGACATTGACATCGTACAGATGAGTGTCGAGTTGAATATCCGCGAATATGAAAGGTGACTGGGAGGCATTATAAGCTCTGTAAACCTCATTGAAGACCTTGGCAAATTGAGGTAGACCGCAAGGTCTGCCGTTGACGAAAAACATTTGCCGATCAGGTGTCTGACGACCCTCTCCGTGGGCTGGGCGACTCACGTAGCCCTGAACCCGGACCTCAGTAGAAGTTTGCTCGTCTTGACCAGCAGATTTCAAGCTAGGCCCAGCGGTAGGCTCGAATCGTAGAGACAGATCGAGTTTCACCAAAACTGTCATCGTCTTGGCACCGAAAATGTTGACCAGATTCTCGCGCGTAGAGGGGTTGCCCTTTGTAGAAAAGAGAATAATACGTTTTCCTTTGGTGGGCTGTTGAGATACAGAAAACTTGACGCCTGTCTGGATACAGGCATACTGATTCAGCAGTGCAATAACCTTATTCCATTCTCTCTTGATATTACGTTGGAGCTCGCGGCGGCGCACGGGAAGGTTGTGAAATAGGCTCCCGACAATGACGTTGGTTCCCTTCTGGGCGGCGACCACATGCGTTTCCTTGAGGTTCCCCGAGGGCTCAAACTCAAGCCTGGTGCCTTTCGGGACATCCTGCGCCATGCAGGTGACGATGCTGAACTGAGACAATGCACACAATGATGACAAGGCTTCGCCGCGGAAACCGAATGTCTGGAGAGTGGCCAGATCGGAGTAGGTTGCAAGCTTCGAAGTGTAGTGCTTCAAGGCAATTGACTCGTAGTTGTCTGTTGAGATGCCCGTGCCATTGTCCTGGACCTCTATGGAATCCAGGCCCTGGTTCTTGAAGCGGACATCTGGGCGAAGATGTCAGTCACATAATCAAGTCGGAAATCATGTAGATAAGTATCTTTTGCGTACCTATGCTTGTAGCACCGGCGTCAACGCTGTTCTCTACGAGCTCCTTGACGACGGAGCAGAGATCAACAATGACTTGGCCGGACTGGATTTGATGAATCTGCAATGATGTGAGTACGAGGATGAGGACCGTTGTGGACGACGGGTTGCGTGAAACTTACTGTGCGGCCCTCAATGGGCTTGATTGTGGCCATGGTTCTGCGATGATCTGAGGTTCGATGCGTGACCCAATTATTCTTGCATGTTCGGCTTATTCTCACACAATTTTGGACAAGGTCTTTCGGCTTCGCTTGGTGTATCCGTAACGGTATTTTTTACATAAGATCCTTTAGCGGGAATGGGAAAATGCCGATATCATGGCTCCAAGGGGTTTAGGAAGGTGAGACGCGTTGACCGTATTAAGACGCGTAAAGTGGACGGGTAAGTGGAAATAAGTGGAAACCTTACTCCGTACACCGAAGGAATCTTACCTGATCACAACTCAGCAGGTGGTAGACATGACGACCCGAAGTATAGCCGCCTTTCCCATTTGGCGGCTTCACTGTTTACCTACGTGCCTATTACCTGAAGTGAATTGAGGCACCCAAGGTAAGGTATCTGATCTCACCTGGAGGTAGGCAAGGCAGGTAGGTGAGGTTCTTCAGGTTAGGCAGGCCAGGTAAGAGAAGTTAGGGGGAGGCAAAGGTACGCATAGCAGAGTTCCCACTCGAAGAGGGTTGGATGCCGATGAACCGAAAGAAGATGTGCCTTGCAGCCGCAAGCCCGTCGGTGCGGGGCATTTGCTCTTTGAATGTTGGCAATGTCCGTCTTACTATCCGAACGGTACAACCCTGCCCGGGACTTTGAGGTCTCCACGCTCGGCGAAACGATTGAAATGAGATAAAAATGCTTGACTTGACGAAGACGGGAACACCGGAGCACGGGATGAAGCTCTATACCCCACCGCTGATCTGTACATTCCATTGGACATCAAGTTCAAGTTTCCTATTCAGAACTTTTCAAGGTTACTAATGCATGTCCATACTATGTACTAAGTGGATGTCCAGTGAATATTTGAGTATTTGTGGCAAATGCCATGCTTTGAGGGTGCCCGGAAATACACTCTGGCTGCCAGCCAATATGGTATTTTGTTTCTCGTTGACTTGTTGTTTGCTTGTCGCTGTCTTCCTCTTCCTGCCAAACCTGTATCCCATTGCGCCGCCCACTGTCCAGTGTACGTTGTGTTTTGATTCTCCGAGATGAAGTGTCGTCAGGGAATTGCGAATGGCCAGAACCAACACCCCAGGACAGGTGGGAAAGAAGAGCACCGGCCAATATCCGCTGCACGTATGAGAGTTCAAGCAGATCTCCTCCATGCTTGCGGATATCAGGATGGACTTTTACATGCCACCAATGCAATCGTCTCATTGGCCGACCTTGGTGTAATGCAACTCTGGAAATCACCTTGTCCGTGTCTTTCTGCTCTTGCCAAAGTTCCATGGCTGCCGCGAGTTCAACCCATATCGAAAAGCTGCATGCCCTGGACTCGGGGTTTCAAAGGGGGGCCAAAGGCGATTGTAACTGCGTCGTAACGCTGATATCAACTATCGATTCAACCGAAAAGGAGCGAAACGGAGCAGACGACAAGCTATGTACATGGCGTAGTTGACCAAGCTTTCTTGTCCCGACGCAATAACGGACGACGGAGGGCTTCTTTTCGGTGCGTAGCATACGTAGCATGGTAAGATGCAGAAAATATGCCTTGCACTCATGCCTCGATTTAGATTACTGGGATGGAGGCTGTTTGGGAGATTGAGCATCTTAGTCTTTGTCACCTTTGGAAAGTGAGGCACACGAATACGCTGCTGGATAAGTAGTTAATACCGGCAAGATCGGGAGCCTCTAACAGCGGCAGGTCGAAGGATGGACCAACGCGCGAGAGGGGAATGATGAGCAAGCTCAGAGTTGATGATGCAGCAGTTGAGCTTATGCGGTGTGCCAATACTGTGAGAAAGTATCCGTTAAACCCCGAAGAACGGTGAACCAACCCCGTCCAATCGGCCTAGATACATCGTTTGCATTTGCTGGAGAAACATCATGAAAACGTTTCATGTCACATTCGGGAAACCATGGGAGGTCAGGGATGCCTGGGCAGCCTGAGCCCTGAGGAATCGGGCCTTGGGGGCGGCAGGGAAGAGGATTTCTCTCTCTGAACAGCTCAGGGCCCCGGAGCAAGGTGAAGCGTGCCGAAGCCCCGGAGGCCACCAAGTGGAGGGTTTCTATGTGGGCGAGCTCAGGAGTAAAGCTGCAAAGACGGCACGTTGTTGGTATTCGTAATCCGACAACCCTTACTTCACCTAAAGGTAAACCAAGGTAAAGCAGGCACAGGGTAGGCGGGAGTACCTAACCAGTTTTATCTGCTGGCCCGACGCATCTGGTGGCAGTATCTGTCCAGTCTACTACCTAAGTGCTAAGATCCCTAGCTAGCATTGAGCAATTGACGCTATTGAAGCACAACATGAGTCGAGTCGCCGGGCGCTTCGGGGATCAATGATCACGCACCTTGCCGCGAGAGCCATTTAATGCCATGTTACCTCTTGCATTTTCCACCTTCTGCGGCTCAATTGTTCCAGCCACCTTCTCTTCTTCTCTTTGGAGCATATTCGCACGAAGTGATCAACAAAGGTATAGCGAGTTTTAGTGTCAATGTTGTCAAAGGGGTTTGCACAGGACCAGAGAAAGGAGGCAATGGGGCTGAGTGAGACATTGAAAACCCAATTGCAGGTGGATCGTCCAATTCCACGTTGCGCCGGATGGGCGAGGCGCGAGATGAGCCAGAGGGGGTGGAAGCGGTCGACGCAACGAGCCACCTCCAAAGAAATACTATTAGGTACCTGGAACCGCTTATATATATCCGTCAGCATGTGTTGGGATCCGATGTATTTTATACCTTACTCACAGCGGTACTTTATAAGGTACCTGGGACTCTGTGCCGACTACCTATCCTTACCGACAGAGACTTTAGCGCTGCGGACGTGCCGCGAGTTGAGGGTGCCCTGGTGAAGTGCCGGGCATCATCAGCTGCAAGACTCTGAAGTTAGAAGTCGCGCCAACCTACCTTAAGGTAACTCCGGCCACCTTATCTTGTTCTTCTGAAAGATTAGCTTAGTGACAGACGCACCGACAGTGGAGGGCACCTACCTGTACAGTAGGTAAGCATCCAGTAGCAGACGGGAGATAGGACCCGACAATAGCAGTGCTAGCCCAAGCAAAAGCAGGCTGCGCACGTTCTTTTCACGTTGTTTCGTTCCCGTCGTCTCTTCCTGCTGTCACCACCTGCACGTCTTCCTCTGGACGTCGCTGCCGTCCACTCTCTCGTTTTCTTCCTCCACCTTGCCGCCCTCCCACCCGGCCAGGAAAACAACAAATCCCTCCACGGCTCGATTGAACGACACGCTTCCTTTCCTGGAAGACTCGATCGAGCCCTCTCCACCCATGAAGAGGCGCCCGTCGGGTTCGACCGACGTAAGCGACGAACCTCTTGCCGATCCTCCTGTCATCCAGCAGCCCGCCCGAACTCGCGATTGTGCACATCTTTCCAAGCAGCCCGCTGCCGTCACTGTCGCAGCTGCAGCCACATCAAGACCGTCATCCGCAAGGAGTAGACGGTCAAACGATCCCAATTGGAGGCTCGAACATGGCCCCGATGCGAATCCGATACTCGACAACCACCTCCTAACAGCCTTGTCTTCGTCACCCCTCTCAGCTCCATCCCTAGCCGTGCCATCGCCAGCCTACCAAAACCACACACACCAACTGCCGAACCACCACCATCACCACTCCCAAGCCGTCGGCAACGATCCTCAACCTTCCCAGAGCGAAATTCACTATCTTGACGGCGATAACGAAGACGGCCAAGGCGGCGGTGACGGCCTTAACGACGGCATTGTGGACACTGGCCGAGAAGACGAAACCACCATGACCGCAGAGAAGATGCCCGATGTGCGCCTCGCTGGTCGCCGCTCTCGATTCCGTAGTCCTTGGTCTGTTACCATACTCACATTGACTGTCGCCGTTCTCGGGATTACTCTGCTTTGCGCTATATTGAACTCGTCATGGACTCGCCAGCTCGATGCCAAGGGATGTCGCATGTCGTACATGCGACCTTCCTACATTCGTCTTCGTGATTTTGATACCGAACACACCCGCTTCGCGACCAAGTACTCGCTATACCTCTATCGTGAGCAGGGTGTTGACGATGAAAGAAAGGTGCTTCTTGTTTCTCGCGCACGAGCTCTGGCAGATCGCTGACCTTTGACAGCTGAGAGGAGTCCCCGTACTCTTTATCCCAGGTAATGCCGGAAGCTACAAACAAGTTCGACCTATAGCCGCCGAAGCTGCAAATTACTACCACGAGTCTCTTCAGCACGATGAAGCTGCTGTCGCGGCCGGTGCCCGAAACCTCGACTTCTTTACCGTTGACTTCAATGAGGACATCACCGCCTTCCATGGGCAGACCATGTTGGACCAGGCCGAGTACTTGAACGAGGCCATTAGGTACATCTTGTCACTTTACATGGACCCGCGTATGTCAGCTCGAGACCAGGACTTGCCAGATCCAACCTCCGTCTTGGTTCTAGGCCATTCGATGGGTGGCATCGTTGCACGCACCATGCTCATCATGCCGAACTACCAGTCCAATTCGATCAACACTATCATAACCATGTCTGCCCCACATTCACGTCCTCCAGTTACTTTCGACGGACAAATTGTCAAGATATATGACGAAATCAACGACTACTGGCGCCACGCCTACTCACAAAAATGGGCCAACAACAATCCCTTGTGGCATGTTACTCTTGTCTCAATCGCTGGAGGTGGCTTAGACACAGTCGTTCCGTCAGACTACGCAAGCGTAGAGCCAATAATCCCCGAGACGCATGGCTTCACTGTCTTCACCACCGGCATCCCGGGCGTTTGGACTAGCATGGACCACCAGGCCATCCTATGGTGCGACCAATTTCGGAAAGTTGTGGCTCGCGCCATGTACGACGTAGTCGATGTCCACAGGTCTTCGCAAACCAAGCCCAGGGCGGAGAGAATGCGGGTGTTCAAGAAGTACTTCCTCACTGGCATGGAATCCATCGCCGAGCAGACTGTGGCAACCGAGGGGCCGAGCACACTTCTTACACTTGAGGACAATTCAAATGCCATCATGGCACAAGGCGAGCGCCTGGTCTTGCGACGGCTCGGGCGCGACACGAAAGTTGCAGCTCATCTGCTTCCAGTGCCTCCTCAAGGATCGCCAGAAGGCAAGCGCTTCACCCTACTGACCGACAGCGCACTGGATAGGCCAGGAGAACACGGAAAGCTCGAGGTTCTGCTTTGTAGCGTTTTCCCTTTGCAGCCTGGACAGTCAACGACGCTGTTTTCTACGAATATGGATTTATCAGGCGACAGCACAGGGTCTACCAGACTAGCCTGCAAGAACGCTGCTTCTGACGCCATTCTGCTTCCCCCTTCGACGAGGATGCTCCATCAGCCGTTTGCTCTAGAGAACGAACCAGTCACCAGGCCATTCTCATACCTTCAATTTGATATCGAAGATATTGCGGATCACCAGTTCGTGGCCGTCATAGACAAGTCGATCAAGCCAAGTCAAAACTTTGTTGTAGCCGAATTCAGCGATCATTCGCAATCCCACAGAAGGCGCAATATCAGTCTGCGGCGAATCCTCGCGTTTGGAATGACGCTGCGACTGCCCTCTAACCGTCCCTTGGTTGCCGAGATCAACATTCCCACCCTTCAATCCAGCCTACTGGCGTATAATCTGGAGATAGGCAACCAAGCCTGTGGCTCAACCTCTGGACTATTTTCACCTCTAATACGGCAACATCTAGCCCAGCCCTACGAGTCCAAGTTTTTCGTCAACGCGAGGCATGCCAGCATCAGTATGCATGGAGTGGCACCTTTCGTTCCGCCACCTCTGAGGCATAAGGTTCAAGAGGAGCAGGGGCTTAGCCTCCAATTTTGGACCGATCCAACCTGCGAATCAACCATCCAGGTCACGTTGACGGTCGACGTATTGGGGAGCTTGGGCAAGCTTTACATGCGTTACCGGACCGTATTTGCGGCCTTCCCACTGCTCGTGGTTACGCTCGTGCTTCGCAAGCAGTTCCGGATCTACGACACGACCGGGGCGTTCATCTCTTTTTCGGAAAGCCTGGATCTCTGCCTACGGCAATCACTGCCACTAATGTTCCTTTCTCTGACATTCCTCTCCTTGTCAATGACCGGATCATGGTCATCAGGCCCCAGCGTATTCTGGCACTGGCGCAACACTACTTCAGCGGCAGCCGACTTTCACAGCAACGATCTCCTCACAGGCACTCAGGATCCCTTCTTCTGGTTCCTTATCCCCCTCATCGGAGTCGTCTGTATAGGAGTGTGCGCCTGTCTCCATTTTATCACCCTAGCGTTGACACAGCTTCTTGGTTTTCTCTACGCCTGGATAGCTCTTCGGTCATTTGCAGTCGGGCGAGATGAGCGCCGGAGGCCGCATTTACCCATCTTCGTTGCATCTTCGCCTCGACGTCGTATGATAACAACTGCGGTTCTGCTCTTCCTGGTATCCACTTTTATCCCCTATCAGTTTGCATACTTGGTAGCATGTCTCGTCCAGCTTTTCACCGTCGTTCGCGCTCATCGAATTGCTTCAGAGCTTAAGTCTGGACCAACCCAAGACTTCTACCACTACGCCCACTCCATTCTGGTTCTCATGCTCTGGGTCCTTCCTATCAACCTGCCCATTCTGGCTGTGTGGATTCGTAACCTTGCTGTTCACTGGCTTACACCCTTCTCTTCGCATCACAACGTACTGTCAATCATGCCGTTTATACTACTCGTGGAGAACTTGACTACGGGTAGGATGGTTCCCAGAGTCACGGGCAGAATGAGACATCTCACGAGTGTTCTACTCTTTGGCACGGCCATTTACGCTGCCATTTATGGTGTTTCATACGCCTACATGCTGCACTATCTCGTCAATTTGATAGCTGGCTGGCTGGTTGTGATTCATTCAACTAGCGACAATTGGCCGCTCGCTGGGTTCAGTTCAATATTTGACAGCCATCACGAAGGGCCCAAACGTGGCAAGACTCCATGAGAACAAGACTGGCACTCGACTTTCTTTACTCTGTGGGACATTGCTGTCAGCGTTGGCTCTGTCGAAGAACTTGATCGGCGGCAACAGAAGCAAACACTCGCCCGAGTCGCTCCGCGCTGTACATACTGCAGTCTCAGTTGGCCCGTCAACCCAACTTTGATGTAGGCGAACGACGTTCAACTCATACGGGAGTCTTCCTTTCTCTTCATAATTGATGCTCTCGGATATCCCCATCTGGAGCTTGACAGACACTGTCTCGGTAGTACGCAGATCCCAGTCTTGTATGAGATTGGTGTTGCTACAACATTTCCGTGTTTTCATCATTGTTTGTCCATCTGCATCTTGCATCGGCCGGGAGTTTAGTACGATTCACACGTTTTTGGTTAGAGGAGTCGGAACAAATATATTTTCCCAAATGGCCGGACTATGAGGTGTCGGAGGTATCGTATCCTTGGTTTCCTCTCTCTATTCTGGGCCCGGGGACCTTTGCGTTACAACAAAATGTCCGCCGGAAGGGCGACTCTGTGAGGTGGGATAACATTCCCTGAATAGGGGATTGGGGGCTCCGCTTCAACCGATATTGTATAATGTCACGACGCGGGTTCTCGTTTGGTGTTGGACCCCGTGTCTCGTTTTTAATGCGTTGGCGGATGAAGTTCTTTGGGTTTCCCGTGTAGAGAGGTAAAGCCGAGCAGGGGCGTGACTTCAGTCAGGAGTGCGCAAGAGGCGCTTGTCGCAAAAGACGGCCATGATACAGCGCCGCCAGCAATGATGGAAGCTCCTAAATTCCATTCGGAATTTCACTGATCCCGTACTTGGTCCCGTGATTGAGGTTGTGTGTGTAAATGATAAGGATGAAGAAGTGAAATACAATTTCCCATTGATTTCTCATGCAGCAGTGAGCGTTGATACTCCTGGCCATGATGTAGCTACCCAAAACGCCATTCCTCTATGAATTGTCTACGGCCGTTTGAAGTAAAGTCTATGTTGGACAACTGATAGCCAGCCCTGTTCGCAGCGACGACTCCTTGTCAAGGAGGAAAAAGTTTGGCCACCTCCCCCACGTTGGCCTTTGATGTTTACCCTGAGAGGAAAGCCCCCTCAGTCATCTTGCTCCGCCTTGCTCTTTTCTTCCTTTGCCCACTTCACTCGCTGATGACGGATAACCCACAGGGTGAGGACCAATCCAATTGAGCATGCGCCCAGTGTCATCAGATACGCTGCACGATAGCAGTCAAGCCCGTCGTGGCAGACACGCTCGCCGTCCGGGCCAACCACGCTATGCCTGTCGTAAATTCGGCCGTAGAAAATGTTGAACACGTTACCGGACACGACGGGCGAGAGCGTCATCAGGCCCCAGTTCTGGCTAAGGCCGTGAATGCCAAAAGTTTCGGCAACGATGGAAGGGAAGACCCCGAAGAGGAAACCATACGCAATGCCAGAGAGGCCAGAAACTAATCCGAGAAGGTGAGGGTTTGTGACGTGGAGGGCCATGAGCTGTGCCACAAAGAACACGAGACTGGATGCAACCAGGCACCACACTCGACTGCCGTGGAGAACCTTTACAATGAAATCGGAGCCGACACCTGCGCAGAATGGGTCAGCTTGAAGTTTGAGATGGGGGATAATCTTGGGCGATCGTACCGCTGAGAAGCCTGCCCGCGAAGCTGCCAATCGACAGAATGGACACATGCATCTGCTGCTTCGTGATGAGATAGGCCTCATCTACGGACTCGTCCCAATGGCGCCAAAGGGCCTTTACATCATTACCAATGTTGCTAGCGGTTTGTCAATATCAAAGGATACTGTATGTTGGCAACAAGGTGATACTCACTTGATTGTCATCAAACCGATACCGGTAAGAATCCCCATGATGAGGAAAAACTGCCAAAAATCGACTTCACGCAAAAGAGCCCAACCACGAATATCTACTCGATGAGAACGATCCAGATCAACACTGCTCTGCACAAATACATCACCAGGCATAGAAGAGGAGGTCGACACCAGCGAGGACGTCTCGTCGGGCTCATAATCATCGGCATCGACGGCTTCGATTTGCGCCTCATCAGCCTCGCGAGACGGCGCTGATGATTCGTACTCGGGATGAACCGGCTCGTAGTCGGCGGTGGAGTTGATTGTGGTAGTGGTATTGGCAAGTTTGGGCGACGTACCAGGTTCAACCAGAGTGCCGCGGTGTCCATGGCCAGGTCGGTTGGGCTTGGCCTCTTCAGAAGAAGTGCGTCGAAGCTGCTGCGGGCCGGAAAGACCATCGCTTGCTGGCAGATTGTGATAAATGGCATGAGGATAGACGCGTAGGAAGAAGAAACCGAGAAAGGTTAAGCCGCAGGTCCCAATGGACAGCAAAGCCAGGAAAGCGCTGGTGTTTCCGGGGAAGAAGATACTTCCAAAGGTCGAAAAGAAGAAGGCACTCAGGCCAAAAGCAGCCAGAGGAAAAGCGGTAGCAGTTCCACGATGATGGGGCCAATTGAGGGCAGACGTCTTGACGGAGGCGGCGAAAGCCAGGCACCCGCCGAGGCCAGACAGATACGAGAAGAAACAGAGAAGCGGCACGGGGCCAGCCGCGCGGTCGTAGGCAATGTGGAAAGGGAAGTATCCGAGAGCGAGCAGAACGGAGCCAATGATGACGGCAGAGCGAGGTCCTTTGTGATCGACGAGCATGCCGACGGGCACGCCCAACGAGTACATTCCCAGGTTGGCGGAAAGGCCAATGACATTTGTTTCGGTCGAGGAGAGCTTCAATCGCTCAGCAAATTGAGGGGACCATGCCGAGTAAACGTACTATGAAGCAGAAAATGTCAGCTCGCGATAAACACTGGGAATGACCGTAGGTCTGGTAGGGATATGATCCGATCGCGCCAACTCACGTTGGTACCGCATGCAAGAGAAATGACAGTGGCTGCGACGCTGGCAACCAGCCGCGCGCGGTGCAGCTCTTTCTCCCGTGGACCCGACATTTATCCTGCAGACTGAGGGATGAAATGCGCTTCCTCAAGATATCATGCTTCGGCCGGTCGGCGGCGGTGGAAAGGGAATTGCTCGTCAGCGAGGAACGGCAGCGATAGTCGGCACCGATGACGGCGACGAGTCGGGAAGAGGGGTGCGATTTAGTAGGCGGGTTGCGTTTAACACAGATGTGGTGATTTAGTGTACTACCGGAGGAGCAGTATTCATAGCTATATTGACCAAGTCAACGGCATGCGACATGAAGACTCGGGCGTCGTTTGAGGGCTAGAGGAAGTAAGGTCGTAGGCAGGAGGAGGACGATAAGAAGGAGAAGGAGAAGAAGGATGAGAAGGAGGAGGAGAGACGTTGTTGAGGGCGGCGGGAAGCTTCGTCGAGTCGGAGACACAGCGGGAACGGTGCCGGATCGGATTCCTTATCTACGGGAATCACGAATCCATTCTTCTGGGGCCGCGCATGTACTCGGACTGGGAAGGTAACGGCAAATATGGTAGGGATTTGGAGCCCTGGGGGAGCCCCCCTGAAGACTGGCTGCGATGCCGTAAGTGCCCTGCCGAAAGGACCAACGCACTACGTAACAAGTACCAATGGTGGTGTGCGCATTACATATTGGCTACATAAAGGGTCTCGTACCCGGTACTTCTGTCCTCCTCGGCACCTTGGCTTGCCGCTGGCGTGCGCTGCGTTTCTACAGTAAGGATATTGTGTACCTCAGGTGGCGCGTGCATGTGTCAACTGCACGACGAGTAACTGGAAACTCATGCACGAAGGTATTCGCCCGCCTGCTCCCTTGAAGCAGCAGCCTAAGTTGATTACGTGCCTGGTCAGTCGGGCTGGATGTATCGGCGGGTTGTTTCTTTGTCGCTAACTGAGTGCAAGTCAGCCGAAGGTAGTTGGCTGTTCTCCCTCAGCGCTGGAATGGTTCGCGCGATACATGGGGAAGGCTCAGTCACTTGATCTGGTTGTGAGACACCATAGAAGGTGCGCTAGTAGGGGATGCGGTTCCCGTGAGTATAATCGTGCCTTCAAACCCATGAGGTCGGTTTCAAACGTAGCAAGTGAATGAAGAGCCTAGTCGCAATGTTGACTGCCGAAGTTCTCGACGTCATGTAACGCAAGTACTTCGCCCAAGGCTTTTGTTGCGTATGAGGGGGGAGAAGATTGATGTCCGGATGGTGCAACGCTGACCTGCTCCATACACAACGGACCAGCTCCGAGTGTGGATTCGACTGATAGAGGGTATCGCACGCAAGGCGGCACATCCAGGTTGAAACGCAGCCACCCCGCCTCTCTTCCGCGCGAAAGGCCATCTGCGGTATCATTACAATTCCCTGTTCTCCTTGGGGGTTCGACCCCCGTTATAAACAACCATGAGAGCGTCGCGAAAAGAGGTAGGGCGGTCGAGTTTAAGTGTACTGTGCAAGACAAGGTAAGTGCCCGATGAAGTGAATCCTAGATTGGGGCAGCGGGCCAGCTGAATTTGCATTGACAGAGCTGCACGCTTATATAGCAGCTTTAATAACCAGCAGGGCAGTGCAAGTCAGCGGTTTATCGGATGTCCGCGGTAAGAACGTCGTGATAAGACAACTGAGGTTGACACATGGTTGGGCAGGAAAAGCAGGCGCTTGCACTGGGTTGGCGAATAATGCTACATATCCGTAAAGATGTCGGGGATCGGTGCAGAATGGCCGATAGTGGATGGCCGACCTCGGCGGGAAGCCCTAGAACCCGGCGTCCGGGTCCGGGTAGGAAACCAGAGCCGCGGCTACGTAATCTCACGTGCGCCCCAGCCTCCAACGGAATGGATCCATTTTTAGTGGCTCGTTCCGGTCTCCAAACTACCTGAGGTACCTTACCTCACCTCTCTACCTGATCCACAATCCGCCGCACCGTCGTGAGACTTCCTCCCAAAGACATCTCCAACGCGACACCTCGATCCCTCCAGCGCGACCGACGCTGACCCGAATTTTACTCAACTTTCAATCGATTGCACGCACCCTGGAAAATCGGCGCCATGGGTGCTTTGCTTTCGTTGCCGCTGATGGCGGTACCAAGCATGGGCACGGTACGACAAGTCTCCTGTGATTCCTTGCTCCTCGGCTTGTAGAGGCCATCTTCACCAGCTAATTCTCTGCAGCTCATTGGCTTCGCTGCCAGTTGTTGCGGTGCGGCAACGTGCTCTGCAGTCTGCAGCGCCTGTGGCAAGTGCGGCAACAGGTAGGTTTTCTCCAACTCGTGAACAAACCGACCTGGGTACTGACCTCAATGTAGTGTCGCCACTCGTATCGGCTACGCAGTCATCCTCCTCGTTAACTCGATCCTGTCCTGGATCATGCTCACTCCGTGGGCTATCAAAAAGCTGGAACATATTATGCTCGACTACGTTAAGATCGACTGTCCTAATGGCCAATGCTACGGGTGGATGGCCGTTCATCGCTTCAACTTCGCTCTCGGCCTTTTCCATCTCATCCTCGCGGGCCTTCTGTTTGGCGTCACGTCTTCCAAAAACCCTCGCGCCGCTATTCAAAATGGCTATTGGGGGCCCAAAGTCATTGTATGGCTCGCCTTCATCGTCCTCTCCTTCTTGATCCCCGACGAATTCTTCCAGTTCTACGGAGCCTATATTGCCCGGTTTGGCGGCATGTTGTTCCTCATCCTCGGCCTCATCTTGCTTGTTGACCTCGCCCATAATTGGGCTGAGTATTGTCTTGAGCAGATTGAGGAGACCGACTCTAAGGTTTGGCGGACAGTTCTCATCGGCTCTACATTGGGCATGTACCTTGCTTCACTCGCCATGACCATCGTCCAGTACATCTTCTTCGCCGGGTCCGATTGCTCCATGAACCAAGCAGCCATTACGATCAATCTGCTGCTATGGATTGGGATTTCTTTCATCTCAGTCCACCCCACCATTCAGGAATACAACCCAAAGGCTGGTCTTGCTCAAGGCGCTATGGTCGCCGTGTACTGCACCTACCTCACCATGTCGGCTGTTTCCATGGAGCCTGATGACCAAAAATGCAACCCTTTGATTCGCGGTCGGGAAACTCGCACAACGTCTGTTGTTATCGGTGCCGTCGTCACCATGCTTACAATTGCGTACACCACCACAAGGGCGGCGACTCAAAGCCTTGGGCTCGGCTCTACCGGCGGCATCCGCCTCCCGGAGGAAGACGAGCACGATCTCGTCACTCAGCAGCCCAGCGCTGCGAAGCAGATGCGGGCGGAGGCATTGCGCCGTGCCGTCGAGGAGGGCAGCCTGCCGGCGAATGCTTTGTCTGACGACGAGAGCGAAGCTGGTGGTGGTCGTGCTCACGGTGATGATGAGCGTTCCCAGACGCAGTACAGCTACACCGTCTTCCACATCATCTTCTTCCTGGCCACGACCTGGATCGCGACACTACTGACCCAGAACCATGACGACCAAAATGCTGATGGCAACTTCGCTCCTGTAGGTCGATCGTACTGGGCCAGTTGGGTGAAGATTGTGAGTGCTTGGGTTTGCTACACCATGTATGCCTGGACGCTGGTGGCACCAGTCGTCCTCCCAGACCGCTTCGATTTTTCTTAAGTATCTGTATAAACAGCATCACGTCGTTTCTCAATCATACCAGGCCGGAACGTTATCGAGAGCATAGTTTAGTCGACAAAAGTAGATAGTCAAGTCGATGGTTTTGAGCGTCCTGCTCACTTTATGCATTCAGCATTCACCACGGCACCAAGGATACATCTGACGGAGTGATATACATTGGCGCTTCCAGTCACATGCCCATGGAGCGCGGGACCTACGGCATGTTTTGTAGCTGACTGAATGCAACCGCTGTCAAAGTTTGCTCATCATGGAAGATGCGGCACAGAAACGATCCTGTTCTCAGGTAGGTGAGTCGACGCAAGTAGCCGAAATCTATAAGCTATCCACACTTTTCATTGCCCCGATTTTGATGTTCCTACGCATATCGAGCATACCGAGCCCAAACGCCGTCGTGCTACGAAAATGGATTTTCTTCCACTAATTCACTACGCGTGCGGTGGACTACCCTAGGCCCAATCACCTCAGGCTTGTGAGTCAGATTCCCGCCTCCACAGGAAACCCTTCAGTCCTGTTCAACGGCCTGAGTGGCGTGGAAACCATCCAAGGTTACGTTGACTGCTCCGGCCTGAACAAGCTACGAAGGAAGTCAGTTAGATGCTTAGAGCTGGACATCGTCGATGGCACTTACTGCTCGCGAAAGGTCTTCAATCAAGTCCGTAGCGTCCTCGATGCCAACGCACAACCGGATCAGGTCCTCCGGCATCTGCCTCTCCTTCCGAGTTTTGGCATCGATGCTGGCGTGGCTCATCTGGCAGGGCATGCTAATCAGACTGTTGACACAGCCGAAGCTAACGCTGATACTATACAGCTTAGCGGCTTCAACAATCCTCTCCGAAAGTGCCGTGTCGCCCGTCTCGAACGACAAAACGGCACCTGCACCTCGTGCCATAGACCAGTGCAGGTCGTACTGGGGGTGCGACTTAAGTCCCGGGTATCGGACCTTGAACCCATGAGATTCGAGGAACTCAGCGATTTGCTGGGCATTTGCCTGCTGCTTCTCCATACGGATCGCGAGTGTCTTGATGCCTCTCATAAGCAAGAAGGAGTCGTTCGGCGACAGACCACACCCAGTGGAGTTGATGGTGAAGTACAGTTTGTTGCCAATATCAGAATCGTTGACGCCAATCACACCGGCCATGATGTCATGATGTCCAGATAAATACTTCGTTCCAGATTCGTAGACGATGTCTGCCCCAATATCCAGAGGGTTCAGGAGCATGGGCGAGAGCATGGTGTTGTCCACAACAACCAAAGCCTTGTCGTTGGCCTCGTGGACAAGCTTAGCGATGGAGGGGATGTCGACGACCTTGATAAGAGGGTTTGTCGGGGTTTCCAAGAGGACCATGGCCGTCTTTTCAGAGATGACGGGTCGAATGTTCTCCACATTGGTAGTGTCGACGTGATGAACGACGATACCCTGGTTGGAGGCCAAGTACGTGAGCAGACGGTTGGTGCCTCCATACAAGTCGTCGCCGGTGATCACCTCATCGCCGGGGCGCAACAACCGGGAAATGACATCCAGAGCACCCATACCTGAGCCGACAGCCAAAGCCCTCGTGGCGTTCATGATCTTGGCTAGGTGGCGCTCAAGATGAGTGCGCGTGGGGTTGCCCGACCTGGTGTAGTCGTACTCATTGCCGCCGTTGGCACTGGTCTGCTTGAAGGTGGCGGACTGGTAAATGGGGATGCTGGATGCGCCATACTGGTCGTTACTTTCAGTGTAGACCAGCTCCGTGGCAAGAGCATAGCGACGACGACCGTTGCGAGGGCTAGACGGCGCGGGAGAAGGAGGAAGATCGTGTCCGTCAAGGTCAACCCGCTTGAGGGGGTCACTGGACTTGGACGTCGCGCCGTTGTTAGGCGGTGTGGCCATGGTGAGACAAAGCGTAGTAATGGCGGGGTAACACTACTATCAAGGAGCTGCCGGCTTATCTGATTGACAGCGGCGGTTGAACGTATTTTTTCTTCAATTGAGCGATTCGACGAGTGAATTTTGGCCAGACAATGCCTGTACAACGTCGCACTTGATGTTCGTGAGGGACGAAGGGACGAAGGATCGAACGAAGATCCGGGAGGCGTTCGGGATCGAGTACAGTACTACCGCTGGTCTCCTAAAGAGCCAGACTTGTCGCCGCGGACAGACTGAATTGCTCAGCAAATCAATTGTCCAAACGCAGCACCGGCGTACTCGATTGAAAAAGCAGGTTATTGACGAGAAGGTGGAGAGAGCTGGTAGGCACTTGTAGGTGTATGGGGAGAAGTTCTACAGGGACGTCGAGGGCTTGACGGCGGGCTTTTGGGGAGACGCTCGAGCGTGTGACTCCAATACCACTAGAAGACCGCAGTTGTGGGTCTTTGCTGATGACGTGATTTGTCGGTGTACATAGCGCGTCCCGAAAGTCGGCGATGGCGGGGCAGCACGAACCCTGGAAACGGCGGGGACGACGCGGGAGTGATCCGAGTGGAATGTTGGCCGGGGAAATGTCGCAGTGTTAGATTGGCACGCTGAGTGGTAACATAACATACCTACCTAACGTATCTAATTCTAAGTAAGGTACCTAGTAATCACTTTAGGGCTATGGCGCCTTCTCAACAATATTAGGGTGATACGAAGTTCAAACAAAGTGATTGCAGCCTTCATGTGAACAACAAAAGGATCTCGGCACTGCTTGGTTGCCAACGCTTGGGAGCATAGGCTGTCGCGTAGAGTGATATTTTCAAGACCCGTTTCCTCCATGTATCAGTACATTGTTTATACAACCGTATCATTCTAGCATCGAATGCGTAGATTGCCCACCGTAGGCAATCATGTTGTGTGAATGCCCTCGTTGCGGCGGATTAAAATAGATTGCCCTTTTGGAGCAGCGTTCCGTCCCGAAATTCTCTCCCTTTCTAACATGCCAGCTGCAGGACACAACTACCCCAATTCTTCGACAATGTCTTCGTACTCGTCTGCCGATGACCTCGATGTCTTCGAGTGTTTCGCGTGGTTCTCCATCAAAATCTGACCTCCACCCTTGCGACCAAAGAAATCTTCTGTCCGGATGCCCCTGAAGTGTTCCGGCGTGATGCTAGACATGGAGTTACCGCTCGCCCGATGCTCTCGCATATATTCACGGACCGGTGCCATAGCGGCGTCACGACATGCCTCCTTGATATCGCTGCCCGACATGCCAGCTGTGACTTTAGTAATGTACTCCACACTGAACTCCGGGTCTGTCTTGGTGTCCTTCAGAATGAGTTGCAGGATCCGTCGTCTCTGCTCTTTGCCAGGAAGAGAAACCGGGAACTTCTTGGGCATTCGCCTGAGAATAGCCTCATCGATGTCATGTATCCTATTTGTCGCACCGAGAACAACAATCCTCGCTGGCATGCCCGAGGAATTTGACGACGTCAACCCATCCCACAGGGTCATGAACCTAACTCGTTAGTAATCACATACGATAACATACACAATGTGTGACTCACTCGGCCTTGACCATTCCGCTGGCCTCGTGCTCGCCGCTCCGTCTTGTACCCAGGACCGCGTCGATTTCGTCAATAAAAATGATGGCAGGTTGCATCTTACGAGCCAACGAGAACACAGCCCGAACCAGTTTGTTGGAGTCACCATACCACTTTTCCGTCACTGTTGAAATATGGAGGTTGATAAAGGAAGCACCACTCTCGTGAGCGACCGCCTTGGCCAGCATGGTTTTGCCGCATCCCGGAGGACCATATAGTAGCACGCCAGACGGCGCAGAAAGCAGCGGCGCCGCGTGAGAATACAAGTGCGGCATAGTCAGTGGGTAGATGACAGACTCCTTGAGTTCGTCGATGATATCTTCCAGGCCACCAATGTCTATTGTGCACCGTTAGCAAGGTCTCGGATTCCTTTTTCTTTCAGATCAGCAGAGGACTTACCCGCGAAACCAATTGAAATATCCTCCGGCGCCACCATCTCAAGTGCTATGAGGTTTTCATATTCATTCAACAGCAATTCTTCCGGCTTTGGTCCGCGACGGGAAACGCTGCTGTCATCTGACGGATCTTCGCCAGGTTTGCCGGCATTCTTGCCTTTGCGCAAGCGTTCTAGGTGAGCCTTGGCCTGCAACCGCGCTTGCTCATGTTTTTCTCGATCAGGATCGGCCAGAGTATTCGTGAGGGAAGAAAGGAAGTTTCTTGCGAGGTATACGCCGGTTGCCATCTGGAGTGCGGTTAGCATTCAGAGCCAAGTAAGTGCCTTTGATCATCCAGTCCACTCACCATACCAGCTACCAACAGCAAGTCGAGGGCAAAATCGCCCAGGCCCTTCTTTCGGTCACCCATGCCAAGGAGCTTTCCGACGGAACCCAGCCAACGGTCCAGGTCGCCCGTCATCAGTGTTGGCGTTGCGGCAGAGGGCCGACACGGTGCGATCGAAACGGACTAGTTCGGGAACCCTCGGTGGTTTATTGACATGTGTTGATGTGAGATTCTCTGCAAGTGTCGTCGTATTTGTGAGCAAAAAAGATTCCTCTCACTGTCGCGTTAGAAAGCAAAGTCGTATGATGGCACGGCAGGGTCGAATCCAAGTTATGGGATGGACCATTAGAGGTATCCGGCAGCGAGATAGACGTGGCCAACCCCATTGAGTCGAGTCGGCAACGCCACCCGCGGTTCAAGTGTGTGTGCTGGGGGGGTGTCAAGCCACATCAGGCACGGTCGGCAGTGAATGAGCCCGCACCGCCACGAAGCGGCACGTCCCTGCGGACGCGAGGGACTGCCTACCTTAACGTATGTTTGGCTCAGAGGTACCTAAGCACCTAAGGGGTACGGATAAGGTACCCAAAGACGGAAGGCCATGGGGTGGCTGTCGCACCGCGGGTTTGTTTACTTTTTTTTCATCGCAAGTTGCCTTTCCGTGCTTGCGCAACTGCCCCTCAGCTCCAAGATTCTTATATCACCCCTTCCGTTATGGTCAGCGCACCCGTCAAACCCTAGCTACCTCTGTCTCAACGCGTAGTAAAGAGTATTTCGTCTTTCTAGAGACACACGCACTCCTCCTACGCCAACAATACACAAACCACTCCGCACGATACTAGACGTTCCTTCCCGGGGCACTGCCGATTTTCAGTACATTAACGCTGTAGACCCCGCTAATTGGCAGCGGCCACCAATCCATTCTGTGGTGCGAATGTCGCGTGCTGCACATTCATTTCGAATACTAGCACTTGCGGACTCGGAATCGGACTCGGACGAACTTTCTGTCCCCGGCGCCAAGATCATTACCTCAAAATCAACCAATATGTCACCGGCGAAGAAGGCCAGGGGCAGACCGCCAGCTGCCAACAAAGTCACGAAACCGGCTCAGAGGACCACAAAGGGTTCCGCGGCTGGCAAGCTTGCAGCGGCAATCGGCAAAGCAGGGGAAGAGGCTGTCATCGACATATCAAGCAAAGCTGGCGGCAAGGCTTCAAAGAGAGGCCGCAAACCTGCCGAGAAGATTGAAATTCAGCAAGAGGAAGACGAGGACGAGGACGAGGATGCGGCGGCAGGGGCTGTCGACAGCATGGTCGAGACAGAAGAGGACACTACCCCGCCGGTGATGACGACCACAGCGAAGGCCAGGGGACGGCCAAAGGCGGCAGCTACGATTGCGATGGCTACAGACGCATCGAAAGAGATGCCGGGCTCTATTACGAGGGGGATCGCAAAGTCGACTAAGCGAGGGCGTCGTGCAGGAACAAAACCAATTCGGGATGAAGAATCTGAAATTCCAGAGACACAGGCTCAAGATGGTATGGATATTGACACGGAAGGCGATGACCACTTCGACGAACTGCCAGTACCGAGGCCGTCAACACATCGCGTTGATCGTGCTAGTGGGAACCTGGATTTGGAGGCTAGCGATGTGCAAATACGGAGGCGCTTAGGCGACGCAATTAGGAAGTACGACAACCTGGCAGCCAAATACCGTGATCTTCGGGACATCGGGGTCAAGGCAGCAGAACGGAATTTTGATAATCTCAAAAAAGAGAGCGAGGAACGAGCAACTAGTGGGTGCAAAAACTCATGTTTGTGGATGGCGAATTGCTAACGGGAACAAGCTGCAAACGAACTCATTGCCCATCTCAAGGCCGACCTTGCAGAGCAACGTAGCTTGGCAAAAGAAGGACAACAACGCAAAAAGCAGCTCGAGGAAATGGAAGCCAAACTGTCAGCATTGACGGCATCCCTGTCCGAGGCAAAGCAGGAGAGCAAGACTTTGTCAACACGGTTGGCCGCGAGCAGGTCTGCTGAAGCTGCAGCAAGTGCCAAGGTACCTGGGAGCGCGGTCAAGGGCGGAAGCGCGGCCGCACGAGCCATTGCTAGCTCGGATGTTGTGCAAACGGGACAGTTAAAAGAGGATCTTTATGGCGATTTGACCGGCTTAATTGTCAGGGTTACCAAGCGTGACTCGGCGGGCCAGGTCTTTGATTGCATCCAGACGGGGAGGAACGGAAGTAAGTCATTATTCTTACAAGCAGTTCTCTTATCATACTCATCTCTCTCGCAGCACTTCACTTCAAACTTGAAGTTGAGAACGAGAGCTCCGGCGAAAACTACGAGGAGGCGCATTTCACGTACAAGCCGCAGCTAGACTCCAACAGAGATCGCGACCTCATCGACATGCTGCCAGATTTCCTTGTTGAAGAGATCGAGTTCCCTCGGCCGCATGCGGCAAAGTTCTATGCGCGTGTTATCAAATCTCTGACGGAGCAACTCGACTAAGAAGACTGACTCAAGAACTGTGCTGGCTGGAGCCAGGCTGGAGCCAGGAGCTGATGAGACGAGCGGGAAGCATTTGAAGTTGTTCGATATGATACCCCTTAGAGACTGTGTTTGTTCCTCGCGTGGTTTCGAGACTGGAAGAGCTGCCATAGGCTGTTAAGAAATCTTGACTTTGGCGCTGACATTGCGGACGAGCAGGAGCAGCTCCGTGGATGGTGTGTGAATCAAGATATTCGCAGCCGAGTCAAAAGAAATCTATATTTTCCTCGCCCTTGCTTGCTTGGTTAAGGAAACACCACCAGAAGCCACAAGCCATTCGTTCTGGTTAACACAATGCTGGTCACTGTTCTGTTCTGTACCTTACCGAAAGAAGCCCCCCCAGTTCCC